TTCATGACAACAAAGCCAGGACGAGTGCCAACTCAGCAGTCACACCTCAATACTTCTGCCTCATCTGGGCCTCTAATGCTGAGAAAGAGGCAGCAATCATAGCCCAGCAAATATTTACCTAGACTTTCAAGACAGCTTGCCAACTAGCTCTGAAAAACATTCACTCCTGACACGTTCTCACATTTTTTCTTGACTTAATACATTCATTATCATTTTCTCCTAAATCTGCTTGTGTGGTGTAGTTCTCGAACAGATTACCAACACCGAAGATTAGTCTTTCATTTTCAGTTGGCCATGTGTGGTATACATGGTGCCTTCCAGAATTATTGGCACCTTGATAAGCCAAGTAAATAAAGTCTTTAATATAATGGCTTAAAATATAAGCAAAAAGTAACCTTTATGTAGTACTCCATGTGCCCTCCCTTTGCCTAATTTATCAAGTTCAGCAATTTCTGTCTCAAAATTATATGATGGTGAATGGCCTGCATGTCAGCTTTTATTTATGTTCCAAATGAAACAGGAAGTCTTTACCACTTATGAGCTCAGACTAGAGATAAGCAATATGTCAGTACTGTTACTGTGATGCATTTTGTTATCATAATAAGCAACATGCTTTTCTGAGCATATTGGGGATAGTATCAGTACTTAAAGAACATTGACCAACTGCATCGTTCATTACACAGAGATCATAACTAGTCCTGTTTAACTGGATGCAGTGCCGTGTGTGTGTTTAAATGTGGCACTTCAAATGCTTTGTGTGTCTGGGTCAAAATATCATATTTTGCACTGTGAAAATGTCTTTCTTTATCACAATACAATATGCTTGTGACATTTTCAGTGTAAGATCAAGCTAAACAACAAAAACATGTATTAGAGACTTTTTTGCTCAACTTTATCAAGAGTGCCAATTTACTTGTAAGGCACTATAAGTCTTCTGCCACAGGCTGCTGAAAGACATGCCTATAGATAATACATAAAGTGTTATTCCCTTAAACCTCAGGCTTGTTTTTAATCTTAAGACTAATTATACAGTAAGTACTGTGAATTATTCAGTTACTACTATGAAACCAATATGCAGGTTATGTCATTAGCACTGTCAAAGTTAATGCATTAATAACACATTAACACTTAAAACAGTAAATTATTAACACCACTAAGGTTTACAATTTTTAACATTTTTCGAGTTAGACCCTTTTAAAGCTTTTAAACTACTTACAATGCGATACTTTCAGCACTTTCGACAGACTGTAAAAGGCTACAGTTATCCTTGAGAATAATCAGTGTAACAAGAATCCACAGCACTGTGTGAAGAAGAGCCAAAGTAAAGGGTTACAGTCTTTTTCAGGATTTGGAGCCGTTAACATTAACTTAATGTATAGAATATACAATTATTAGTGGGAATATACAGCCACTTTTGCTCTCACTGGACATCAGGGATGAAAACTGGAAACTCTTTCACTTTGGAAATCATTATTTTCCATCTTCAGGTGTATGTGAACCCTGTATTTACATGATGAAAATAATGTTACTGAATGTCTTCAAGTAATAAACACATTCTGATGAAGTGTATTTTGTCCCCTTATATACCTATAACCAAATGTACCTTATGGCAGCATATTCTGGTATTTTATAAGATTCAAATGCAAATTTGAAAATGCTACATAAATTGTGTGTTTATAGTTGAATTTCCTACATGATTCTGCAATATTTAATACATAATTCAAATTCAAATGCAAAATTTGCCTTTGCATTACTGTGGAGACTGGCTGGAAAAAGTTCATATGGGAAAGCAAAGTCTTTGACATTTCATTTTCCACTGTCTTAATGGTAACTCCTGTGAACCTCTGCCTGAAGCCAGTCATAATGTCACTACCATTGGTGCTTGTGCAGCCACAAGCTCTTCTAGTCGGTCAAGAATCACTTCCACATGAAACAACAGAGCATCACTTTAGACTGAATTATATTCGGCCTGTTTGGCGAGTGTTAAAACATCACCAGCAGCGGTTGCTAATGTTCCGGCGCCACCAAAGTTTAGACTTTCTCAGCATTTCCTATTAAAACATACCTCGCACTCAAAAGCCCCTCTCGACAACCGAGACAGTGTTTAATTGATAGGAGTGCCATACTGACAGTGAAAATGCACTTGCAAACAGGGTTGCAAATACATTTGAATTTTGTCAGAGGCGAAGCGTGACGATGAGGAAGTGCCATTGCCATTTTAATGTCAGAGTGATACTACTGAGACAATGAATACGAAACGTAAAAAAGACTTTGCTTTTTCATATTAACTTTTTCCTGCCATTATACGCAGAAATGTAAATGCAAATCCACATCTTGCATTTTAACTTGAAATAGCATTTTGAAATTTGCATTTGAAAAAGTCTGAAATATGATGCTATATGTACTGCTTTTAAACAGAAAACTTTCTTTAAGGTTAAATTCCAGAAAATAAGACAAATGCTATTAATCGCCCTATTAATCCCGTTTCACAGCCTTATTATTTATGTGGGCAAGGACTTAAAGTGTGGACCCACATACAGCCCCTTGCAGAGCAAAACCCACTGTTCTGTAAAAACAGAAAAGTGATTTAGCCATGCAGGTGTTTATTCTGACTTATGTTTCCCCTATATTAACACAAAATCAAATGGCCGTGACTGGCTCTTTCCAAGACAGCATTTATGGCAGACTTTCTCTAGAACGTTAAGAGGTGTGGCTACACAAGACTAGATATTCCATAATCCAAGTGCACTTTTCTGACTGAAGTTAATAGATCACTGCACCTCAATCATAGTACATAAATTATACAGAACCACTTTTACTAGTGTACATGTAAGACTTCAATGTCCAGAGAGGCATTACGAGTCATAAATAAAGTCAGTACAAATCATTATATGAGTCACCGACAAGCATTTATCATCATAGCTCATTCTGTTTTTTATCCAAAAGCAGCTCTGGCAGTACATTGGTCAAGTGCACTCTATTGTAGTCTTATGGACAGTGATGAATAATCTTGTGCTTGAAGTCCATTAGCATCCACATGTCTGCTTATGTCTAACAATCTGGATAGTTTGGATTCATATTTGACCACTGATGGGGACTGTGCATTTGGCAGGCTAGAGGGGTTTACAGCTGGAGAGACACCAATCTGTCATGTCAGCCTGATCCAGGCCAGACGCCTGTGCATCAGAAATGATACACCGTCATTAAATCCTGGCCTGCGATTGAGAAAACAGCTGTTGGGGGCTTGATCTTGCCAAGGCGGACCAGCGGAATCTGTGCCACATACGTTCAGCCACATATGAGTTGAATCTCAATTACCTACAAAGCTCATTCACACCCTTACAACATGTAATAATAGTCTTATGATACAGTGTGTCTAACTATTATTCTGTAGGCTGTCTCTGTGCTTCCAAGTTAACTACAAATGCTTTGTTTAGAACCATCATTATTGAGGAGTGTATTTTTTTTAACAATTATCAGTTTTAAAGAAAAGCCAGAGAGTAAGGATGGACTTAACTGTATGACAACAAAATTACGCAAAGCCTTTAAAAGATTCCAAAAAACTTCTAGAGAAAAAGATCATCAAGGAATCTTATTAAAAATGAATGAAACAATCCAAATAAATAGGTGTTCTAACTATATATAAGATTGAATATACCACATAAACCACCAATTAATAATCAGCTGCTTCACACAGAAGGAATTTTCATGGATTAATTACTTGTTAAAGTTATTCCGCTAATCGTGATGACCTTGCTTTCATTCAGTAATTCAGAAAGGATAAGATTTTCTTTTTTGGCTTTTATTTTTTGGAATGTGTACCGAGAACACATTCTCACTTACAGGTTCCTTCTGGGGTTTGGTGACAGGAGTGTCAGGTTGCAGCGCCTCTAGAGAAATTTGGGGTTAAGTGTTTTGCACAAGCACAACTGCAGTGGTCAGAGCCGACACAGAACCTGCAGCCCTTGAGCACCAAATCTAGATTCCATCGTGGCCTGACTGGACATAACAAATTCCATAAGTGAACTGGAATCAGCTGGAACAGGTTTCAGATACCAATCAGCAGATTTCTGGCAAATAAAACAACAACAGAGACACACCAAGGGGCGAAGTCTTCCTTTGCCACCCATGGAGTGCTACCAGTCACTTATACCACACTCGACTCCAGGGTGAAATTGTAGCAGATCAGCTGTCAGTGGAGAACTCCTGCAAGCTGGAACTGAAACTATGGAGAGCCCCCATCTCCCCACTGTGGCAGGCAGACATAATGTGTAATGAACTTGTACTTGTCCAGCTGAGGAATGTGGCAGCAGGTGCCCTCTAAAAGGGGATGCTCTCTACAACAGATTCCCCTTACTTTTGTGTTTAGTTGAGGCTAAAGACTTAAGGCTGGAGCTTCTCTCCTCAATCACTTGTTTCTTTAAGGTGTAGCTAGGGCATCGTCAAGCATTGGGAGATAAAAAGTGATGATAAAAGCAACAAACAAATATCTTTTGGCCACTTGGTGAGGGTGGAAAGCTCTACACAAAGCAACAAAGCATCTGTCAAAGTGTAAACACCTGTACGTTCAATGTTTCTTCATAAATCAATGGCATAAATACGGAGTCTGTATTCTGTAGTTACAGTCTCTACTCTTCTTGGAAGGCCTTGCACTAGATGTATGAACATTGCTGTATAGATTTGGTTGCATTAAGCCACAAGAGCATTAGCGACATCAGGTACTGATGTTGGACGATTAGCTCTGGATCACAAACACCACTCAAAGTCATCCTAAAGACATTTGATGGTGCTTCATCACTCCAGAGAACAAAGTTCCACTGCTCCGCATCCCAGTGCTGGGGGCTTTATAGTCTTCTAGCACTGGACATTAGGCCTGGTGACCTTAGGCTCATTGAAGTCTTCTGCAGAGGTTCCCATCCTATATGCTTTTCTATATAAATTACTCAAGCTTGTGTCAGGCCTGAAACAGTGTAGTGTTACAGAGAAGACAGGAGTCTTACCTGTGGCTGGTGAGACAGCAGCAGAGGCCAAAGCCCCAGAGGTGGTCAGCTCCAATCCCAGCAGGACAGACAGGAGGAGGCCGCGCAGCAGCACAGCCAGCCCAGAGTAACTCATTGTGGGCCAAAGCTTTCAGTTCCTCCCACGGCAGGGGAGGAGGAGGACAAACACAGAGGGAAAAAATATGAGTAGCGTTGAATTTCTGGTGCTGCTGTCTGCGAAACGAAATGCTAACGTGGCCGTACAGAAACGCCGGCGTGTGTGGCGAATCACCAGAGAGCAACGCCACATAGAAGAGTTACAAAACGCACCGTGTTCAGAAAAAACACTCAATATGTCAGCGTAAAAAGAGAGAGACAGCAGGCCTACGGGGATTTGTAATTTGTCCTGACGACAAAAATATATCTAAGCTCTATCTGACACCTGTCTCCAATGTCCGGGACATTAAAAGACCATTTTAAAACCTAAACTCCATCCCAAATCGGAGGACACACGACTCGAGCTGCACGGAGCGGTTTAGCCTGAGAGCTGCTGCTCACCAAGTTAACTTCCAAAGACGACGACAAAAAGTGCAAACTGACGAGGAGGATTCCCCAACATCACTCCCAGCCAAGAGGGACAGACACACAAATCCTTTCCAGATATATATGTAAAAAAGACGTGGGCAGGTTCCGTATCCACAGCAGCGCCTCTCTAAAGTGCCATAGTCCTAGTCCAGTCCGTCTGAGTGAGAGAGGGGCTACGAGACAAAACAGCGTCTGTACTTCTTCCACACAGAGTGGCCAAACATCAGCTGTAGTCCCTTCAGCATAGCGAGCACAGCACGGAGAGATGAGGAGAAACGAAGATCCGCCTCCAGGAATCACACTGTCAGAGCCCGTCCTTCGATCCCAGCCGCGTCCGAGACACAGAGGGAGAGAGAGAGAGAGAGAGATCAGAAAAGAAGTCTTATTTTCGGTCACACCAACTCGGTGAACCGACAGGGGGTCAGCGGTGTCTGTGAGCTCCTCTGTGAGCGTGTGAGGCTCTTCTTCTGCCGGACAGCCTCCTTCACAGCCAGTCACTCGACGCAGAAGTGAAACCGAGGGGGCGGAAGTCCGTATGCAAATCGTTCAGCATGAGCACTGCAAAAAACATGATTCAGTCAGGCTCACCCATGTAGCTCACACTGGCAGATGATGGTGACTGCTGGGGGTCATTCACTTTATTATCTGTCACTGAGAGCCTGTCTGTGCAGTCCTCTGACACAAACGCCAAAACCGGATCAGCTGCAGGCTGTGCAGGCTGTGTGGTGAAGCTGAGGGAGAGAGAGCCATCAGCACTGTCGGTATGTGGAAGACACGACACAGGTCGTGGCGGGGCGGGAATCCTCCCGGCTCACGGTGACGTACACAAACACCAAACTCTCTCTCTCTCTTTCTGTGTGTGGGTCTCTCTCTCTCTCTATTGTCCCACACTTCCTCGTTCTGTCGCCTCTCTCTCCACTGTGCTGCTGCGGCAGCTCGCCCTGTACGCGGAGGTAAACCCGGCTGAGCTCAACTAAACCCTCTAACACCATCTAAAAGAGCGTAGATAGTGGAGGACACGAGGAAGTAAAAAGAGGACCTTCCATCGTGCCCACCTCACAGACACACAATGCCGCTCGCGAGCTTGCCTCCTCTGTGCGCGCGCTGATTGGCTACGCTGTCCCAACATGGCAGGATCTGATTGGCTGCTGTATCCGCCGTGTGTGTACGTTTGAAAGGCAGAGCGCGGGAACGTGCTCGATCCGGCAAGGTCGCAAATGGCTCCCTACTCCCTACATAGGGCACTACTTTGGGGATGTACACTCGAGTAATGCCATTTTTATGTTTTAACATGACTGTAAAATGTTACAGCTGTGCTCATATACTAACTGTGCCAAAACGGGTGCCTGGACGTGAGAGCGGTGTTAAGGTCGTGACTGAGGAGGCCGATGTAGCGCGGCTTTACTGCTAACTAGGCTAACTATTCTAGCTTAGCTAGTAAACTCAGATGACCTTAATATATTACTTTGTCCTGTTTTAGTTAATTAAATATATAGTACAATGGAAATAGGTCATGATATCAAATAGGTCATATGTAACAAGTTCTTTCCAACCTTTTCCTGCTGCTGCTGATTTTATGCTTTGGCTTTCTGCACTCCCTGGTGCCTTGAAACTGTGTTCCGCGACTCGGAAAAAAAAGGGACAGCATTTTTCCAATATTTTTTTTTCTTTATTTTTATATTAAACTCTTAATAAATGCAAACTGTTCAACCTCACTTTAAAAGAAATAAAAAATGTCAAAAACATTAAAAATACAAAAACTTAAGTTTTATTTTCACAAGTTAAAATGTAAGGGTCAGGGCTTGAGACAGCCACCTCCCAACAGAAAGTACCATATAAATGATGATTTTGTACATATTTAGCTTATTACCTTCTCAATTAATGACCTGGGTTTAAAAAGATCATAACATAATCATTGTAAATGTCTACAGTCTGAATACTGTCTTTTTAAAACCATTTTTAATGTAGCTAGCAGTTACGGACTAATAGAGTGTAACTGGCAAATGGTACTCAGACAAGAATAGATTTTGAGACCACCAGTGTGAAAAATATCTTTTCACTGATTTTTTTAAAGCAATGTAATAAAGAAACTATTATTATAGTATTTAAAGAATACAGTTTCACTACATACACTGACAACATACTAAAAAACAAACTTAACAAGTAGCTTGCTGTTGTCTTTTTGGTCCTCAGCGCACCAAAAACATTACGCTTTGCCCACCCAAAGCAAAAAGTTTGGGCATGTCTGATGCAAACTTTGTTCATAGCCTATTGCTCAGTGTGCTTTACCCTTAAAGGCCCTGTCTAGAGGGAGAATGATGTTCTGTTTCAAGTTTTTTATATGACTTTTTTGGGTGTTTTCTTCTGTTTGATGTAAGTTGGGTGGGACTAAATTTGGTGTTGGTGATGTTAAATCTGCCAGTCAGAGTTACTCGCATTCCTCTCCCCCAATGAAAGACATATTGTGGACATATAGTGCACTACTTGGTTGAAGCCTTAGTATCACGCACTATATAGTAATCAGGGAGCTGATTAGGATTCAGTCTTCACATTACTTAAACATGTCTAATGGCACTTCAGTATTTGGTATTTGGTATATATTCAATTTTTCAATTTTTGTAATAAAGTCACTCTTGTTAAAAACATAAGCCACTGTGTTTCTAATTTACTAATTATAACAACTGTACTCAGCCAAAGCGGCTGCTGGAAGATCTGTCAAGGCCCTATTTAATGACCTGATTAAGATGGCTCACACCATCATGCTCAGCTGGATGATCTGCAGCATGCCGCAAATGTTACACAAATACACAAAAGCGCCATGTAGGAAACATGATAGTGCCATCTACATGAAATCTTTCATCGAGGAACAGTGCTGGAGTGATGAGTGGTGGCACAGTGCTCCTGAAGTGCACCCTTTTGGCCAGCAGGGGCGTATCCCTTTGGTAAGTGTCCCAGAGCCATGGTGAAAAGGACGGGGGATGGTGATCACCATCTCCCCTGCGATAAGCAGGACAGGCTGTGGGAAGCTGGGTAAACAGGTGGCAGATGGAGCGAGACTGAGTCTCAGGGTGAGGCACAGGGAGTGAGAAGCAGGGCGGAAAACTGACGAGTGGCATAATTTGATATGAGCTAGCAGGAGCGTGAGGCAGGCGGCCAGCCGGGCAGCAGGGGGGGGCATAGACGGGCTTAGCATATGTCAAAGGAGTGGAGGGGGCATTTTGCTGCAAGCTACCTGTGAGTTAATGATGGTGATACTGAAAGAGTTCCAGTGCAGTCACGCAGTGCAGTACCCCCTGTCTACAGAGACCCTAAAAACAGTTTAGACAGCCATCTCATTAAGCTGCAGGAGATTAGGGCTATAACAAAATCCAGCCAATCTTGAAAAGTGGGCGACACTAGCTGTTAGGACCCAACCAATATGAAAATGTAATGGCTTGTACCAAGTTAAAAATTCAGAAAACCAATAATATAGGCTGATGTATTTTACCATGAAGAAAAATGTAAACAGATAGTAAAAACAGCATAGACCAGTATAGCCAGTAAAACAGTGCACTTTTTTACTGACCAATATGTCAGCTCTCAACTGTGACTTGCTAAATTTGATTTAAATGGCCAGGGCCCTCGTAAATGGCCAGGGCCCACCAGTGGGCCCAAAGTTTTACTATACACTTCTATAAAGTAAGAATAACTCAGCTTGCTGGAATTGTAGTCTGTGTAGTTACTGAATAATAAGCCTGAGCATGTCATAAGCTTGGGATTTTAGGGGGTTAATTTATATGAAATGTTGTGTCCCATGCTTTATAGACCACTTTCAAGAATTTTCTTTCATGAGATATGCTGTTAGGATTGGTCTTACAAGGAATATCAGAGCTATATTATGATTAATACCACCTTTATTAGAGAAATAAAATGCATTTTCCATCATATGTCAACTGTGATTCTTTTTAAAACTCATATAGTAAGGTATACACAGCATTTAGAATGAAACTCTTCATATGTCCATATCTCAGCTGATATTTAATGATGTATCAGTCGGCCCTGTTAGCTGTATCAGGCAGCAACAAAGACACCAATCAGTGTGCTTTTAAATTTCTTTTTAATGAATAAACTTTTGTGGATCTGTTGCAAATCTCATATCTGCAGAAGAAATGCCATAAATAATACTATAGGAACATATACAAATGGCATGCTGATGAACATATTTATATGGCAAAAAACATGGTGTAAAAAACGTACAAAATAAATAATGTGACACATTAGGGTATTTCCTGTAATGGGAAAATCTGTTATGGGTGGGGGAATAACCTCTTTTCAAGTGAGCTGGAATGGAATGACCAATTACTATGTCCATTTGTGTCCTACGCTTCAGGGTGACACATACCTTACGTAATAACACCTTTTAAAATGTGAGTTTGTTAGAATTTACATAACATTTTTTACATTTTCCTTACATAATCTGCATCACAAATCCTCAAATCAATCAAAAACAAAATTATTGCATGTAAAACTACAATTATGGATATTAAAAGAGAGTGGAAAGGTTGTTTGTGCTGAGGCACATATAATCATTTTAAGCCCTAAAATGTCTCATAATCAGTCATAAAGTGACACAGGCCAGCTTGTAACTGTACTTAATTACTGCAACTGGGATGTTAAAGTACATGCATTTCACTCCCAAATGCTTTAAGACTGTACTATGTATTATAGCATTCTTTTTCCATTTAGCTTAGGATATTAATACTACATTGCTGGATAAGGCATATCTTTGTAGGATATTTTTAAAAAGGAAACAATATTTAAGCATATCAGTTATAAATAATGAATTGGCAAAGGTGGCATTTTCATCATATAAATGTATCTGAGTTCAATTAGTTTTTTTACTGTACTTATAACTAATACTTATGTGTGCAATTTGACACAATTCACATATCTAAAGAATCTATTAAATCCTGTAAAACAGCCTAATAAGGTACTTGTTGGCCTGACTGACATGACGCCTGATTTAAAAATAAAGTCAAGCTTCTGTTTTGGTAGCGTGCAGAACGTTGTTTCTGTTCTGTTATGTTTTCATAAAGTTATCCTGTTATATTTGAAAGGTTTGCTGCAAATGACTTAGTTGGCATGGGCACAGCTTGGCAGACCGCACGGAGGCAGCACCCACATGCACATGACCTAAGCAAAGAGGAAAATCTGCAGGAGAGGCATGACCTTTAGGGTTGAGAGGTCAGCAAGGACGGCCTGTGAGAAGAAAGAATCACAACAGAGCATAGTTTTTTAGAAGAATTTTGAAATAAGGTTACTTGAAGGCATTTTCTCAATATAAAAAAGTGATCATGAGCAAAGATGGTACAATAGCACTTTTTCTTTTCCATTACTGATACTAAAACCTTGAGTACTGGCTGATAATGATACCTGTCCAATATACTGTTCTTTAAACACTATTAACCTTTAAAATGTGCTATTTTTAGTTAAAGTACTTCTAGTAAGAGGAACATCTAAAAGTAGGTTATCATACTCAATCTACTCAAATTCTCTACTACCCCAGGAAGAAGTACCCCTCCTGTTAGTTAGTTAGTATGTCCACTGTATTTGACTATGCCCATCAGTTCTTAGGTCAGGTTACCTGGTAGTATCCGCATCACAGACTAAAATTTTCAGGAGCACAAAATAAAACCCAGATCCACACAGGATTACATCTGAAAACATTTTAATTAAAAAATAAACTGGCTCAGGCATGGCTGGGAATTGACAGTACGCCAATTTAAATAAACTGAGAGGCATGTCAATTATTATTTTGCAAAATGTCAACTGGTAATAATAAACCATAAGCGATAGGGCTGTAAGATATTGACATAAAATGCAATGTTTGGTAAGTTGGTCTGTTGGATATCACAATGATGATATGACAAGCGATTATTATTAAAATAGTGTTCCCATGACTGGATCTGATGCAACTGGATCTGATGCAAGTATAGACGTCTTTTTTTGGAAGTGTTAACAGAAATCTAACTAACCTGTCCCTTAAGCAAACAGCAAAATATACATTCACAAAAGTACTATTGTGCAAAATAAAAAGAAATACAGCTACTTTAGACATCAGAACTGCAAGCAGATTTTTTATGCACTGAAAGGCTAAGGAACAGTCAGCATTACCTTGATAGCTGAATAATAATTTGATAACTTTCTATGGATGCTAATATGCTATATGCTATATACACATAGTTTAGCACCCAGACTCTCTTACTATGGAGCCATAGTATCCTGTTTATATATGTTTTTCTTCTTTGCGTTTTAGAATTATAACTTGCATTTGTGGATGCAGAGATGAACTGTGTTCACAGTGGTTTTCAGATGTGTTCCTGAGTCCATGCAAGGATTTACTGTACAGAATCCTGTCTGTTTCAGCCAATATTGGTGTTTGGCCTTTTCCCTTGTATATAGAGTTTTCCCCAGATTGCCTGAATCTTTTAATGACATTATGTACTGTGGCTGATGAAATCCCCAATTTATTTGCTACTTTACATTGAGAAACGTTATTCCTGAATTGTTGCACTATTTGCCCACAAAGAGGACGTAAACTCCTTCCCATCTTGACTTCTGAAAGACTCTGGGTGCTCTTTTCATACCCAGTCACGTTACAGACCTGTTGCTAATTAACCTAATTAGTTGTAAGATGTTCCACCAGGTGTTTTTTTAGCATTACCTTTTTTTAGTTTTAACTTTTTTTGTTGTGACAGTAGCCGTTACTGCCTAGCACACATAACACATAATATTGGGAATGAAAACAATCCTAATGTTTGATGTGTTTTTACAGGCTTGTAGTTCAGGATGGAGCAGTTTTCAAACTGTGCATGTGTATGATATAATTTGATCTGGTCTGTCGTCGCAGATCTTAACGATGTGTTTATTGTGGAAGCCTATATTGTGATGATAAAAACGAGATTTATCGTGCAGCCTTAATAGTGATATTACTAAGCACATATCACAGGAAAAGTGTAAAACAAAAATTCTTAGTCTACACAAAAAGAATCCTAACACCTCTTCTATAGGTGCTCTTCACAAAATGGTGTCCGGCAGACACTCTGACGCAACACCTATCTTCAGGGAGAGGCCAAGAGTTTGGTTGGCACGCTGAGTGGAGCCAGATGCCCTGCAGATGCAGCAGTGGGGCCTGAAGGTGAAGGAGTTGGGGAGGTGGGGTGGAATCAAGCGTTCTCAAGCTGTGGCCTTTTGGGATTGGAGGCAAGTAAATTTAGGGGCTCCTATCATGTTTGCAAGCCTCTAAAGTTTCAGGCCTGGGCCCTGGGTGCTAAAAATACATTGTGTTATGATATGTTCTCCAGTAGGACCATGTGGTATATTAGCAAGCAGATACTGTCCAGCAGCATCTTCCCTTCGCCCCAGGGCCCAGGCCCGTGCGTCACTGCGGATTACGGCCAGGTGCCACTGCCAGTAGCTCAGATTAACTTTTACTACAGCTGTCAATCAAACCATTGCCTGAGGGTGCAACCAATGATGCTGCCTTTAAAATGCTTTTAGATATTTATGTGACAGTCTTGTACGTTAAAAATGATAACACATCATTTGACTGAATAATATTTTATAGTCATTGATTTAAATCATTAAATCATTTACTACAGTTATTGGTGAATTATTACCATTACAAATATGTGTCTTCTAAATAAATGGTCAATGGCAAAAACAGACTGTGTAATCTTGATAAAATATTCAACCAAAAGCTATAACATACATGTTCATGCAGAGAAACAAGTTCTCGCTTATATATATCAACACCGTCAGAACAAAATCTCAGATCTCCAAAACTATGCAGAAGAAAGGAGAAATGTTCCTAATTTTTAATGTAAGTTAATGTGGTAAGATTTTCTGGACTGTTTATATCGGTCTATTCATCATGAACGGCAAAGAACAGCCAGCAGTTTCAAATGAAAAACAGAAAAAAACAAACATAAAAAGGAAAGAGGTTTTAGGCTGACAGTGATGCTATGCACACTGACCTCATCAAATTTGGTTTTGAACGTGCAGTGGCCAAGGGGGAGGGTGGTCTGCTTTTAAAAGTAGCCAGGCCAGCGATTCTGAAACATGTGCCTTGGGAAGACTAGGTTACTGGCGCTGGCTGTGAGTCAACGTGCTATTTCAGTCACCTATAGCCCTCTCTCACGCACACACACACGCTCACATGCAACACACCTCAGCTGAAGCCAGTGATGTCACCTCCATCAGATTTTCGGCTCGGAAGGCGAAGACGGCGGCCGCCAAGACTAAGAGAGGGAGGAAGAGGGACAGACAAACAGCCTATCAAATAATAGGGTCCAAATGACACAAGCTTACGTCAGCATGTCACACATTTTAGATCCCCTACAGTGCAAAGTATTGAACGTTGAGAAACAACTCCATTCAACCTAATGGATTATTGATAATTATTTCATTGATAATGAACCCCAGTCGGAGATGTGTGCTACAAATTCTTATTCAGTTGAATGGAATTTTTGACAACTTTCTGAAAGCTTGTCTAACCTCACAGTCACTGTAAGAAGAACACACTTGTGGGCGGAACATGGAGATGTATTGGATGGATCCAAAGTGTTTTTTTTTAGGAAAATAACAAAGACATCAAATCTATAAAATAGTTTATATGGAAATAATCCAGTCAGAAATATTGGTCTTCTACCTCTTCAGACCCCACCATCCCTTGTCACAGCACAACTCACTGGCTGTAATGCTTTAACAAGGACAGACATTCCACTAATTAACTTTATGATTGTGGTTTCACCTCTGCATTTTCTGACTCTAAAACTTGATGCTAAACATGAAAAGTACTTTTTTCCAAAAATATTATTTGAAATTACATTTTTTGTTTTGGACATAAATTCATGCATAGGCATTCATTTAAAATGATATTTGTCTTAGAAACAACTTTTAAGTAGAAGCCTTTTAAGTGTCTGTAAGAAAAAATATTCTAGGTTTTGAGTCCAAACACTTGACTGGTAATGTACTCGACCTGAAACTTTCAAATAAAAATGTGAAAATATGTATCCTATTAATTCTGTTCAGAAACTGCACAAAACAGGCTCACTATAAACTGACAAATGTTTTTTTGTGTACAACTGGAAAAATGGACCCACCTGCAACTATCTCTAAGGAATCATAACCTAGGACACGGTCCCATAGCAACAACAGCTGGTCAGTGGAAAGGTACCCTGAGAAAGCCCGAACCATCCACTTGAAGGCGATCCGCAATCTGAGTCACACACACACACAAAGGCAGTTTTTTAAGTTCTCTTTAAAATGTACCTATTTACTCAAAACAATGTTTGAATACAGATATATTTCCACTAAAAAGGGGTCTACAAGGCAGCTTAATAAGCTGTGAGATTTGTAAGTGCATAGCACGAACGCTAGGTGGAGCCATCTGAGTATCGCTTGGTTGCATGCAATGTGTTTTAATGGCCTAATCTAAATCTCACTTAGAACACTAAGGCATACATCCAGTTCCATATTTGTCTTTGATGTATGAAAATATATTCATACATACTGAAGGTGTGGGATATGATAAGTCAGGGGTGCCCAAACTTTTTGTCTTGGGGAGCGAAAGTGCAATGTTTGCAGTGGGCTGATACCGCAAATGCTGTACATCCATTTGTAACAATTTTTGTTTATTTCACTAATAAAGGTGGTATCAATCATAATATAGCACTGATATTTATTGTATGTGTAAAGCCCACTCTCAACAATTATGATCATGATTTAAAAAACCCTAAAAATGGTCTACAATGTGATTTGGAAACATTCAAAGTAAGTGAGGTAGGTAGGTTTAAAATAAAGTTTGTTTTTTTTAATAATTTGTTACCAAAATACTTCAAAAATACAAATTTAAAAGTGAAATAAGAAATAAATAAGTTATAAATAGAACAAAAATGCTTGCTCTATCTTTGGGTTGGGGGTGTTTTTTTGGTTTTTTTTTGGTGGATCAAAACAATGGGTCAACTTTTGCCTGCTGGCAGCCCTGTGTTAAGTGAATGACTATCATAACACATTATACCAGTAGCACAATGATTCAGACTTACGGTTGAGCTCCAATCTTTTGTAGATGATAAAAGAGCTGAGGAAGATGGCTTTGCAGTAGCCTCTCAAACTGCAAACAAAGAGAAACTATACCCTGCACGCACACACACACACACATATGTGTAAACACAGTAAGATCTTAAAGCACACACTTGCCACCCACATTCATGGACATTTAGTAATATGTACTTACCGAGGGTGAGGAGGATATGGAGTGCAATCTGAAGAAGTAGCGCACATACATCTCCCTGAATACACTATACAGCTTAGACGGCTCATTGTACAAGAAACACAGAGGAGCCACTGTGGGAAGACATACACAGGTTAGTTTAATGCTCATTAACTAAACTTCAGCTCTACTTCCACAACAATCAAAACACATGTAGTCCGCACACTCACCATACATTGAGAAGCCATGGAAGGGGATAACACCTAACAAAAGACCAAGAGACATCTATTGTAAGAGAACTGTTGTTTCTGAAATATTTGCTACACTAATTAAATACAGTTATATATTTGCATTACATTCAAATGACTGAAGGGTAGCAAAAACAATAAGTAAAAAATAAGTAATAAATAAGTAATAAATTCTGTTATTTATTTAATATTTCATGTTTTTTAGGAACAACAAGAAGTTCTCAAATGATAAACTGCAAAGATATATTTATAGTAATTCTCAAATGATACTTATATAGTACTTATATGATATTTATATATTTATATATATTTATATATTCATACTTATATATGATATTTATAGTAATTCTCAAATGATACTGCAAAGATCTATCTATAGTAATTCCTTGATAAGTTTTCTGCCTCAAGATTTGGTCAGCCCTTTTCACATATGAGGCATTCTATTAAATATATTATCACTTTACAGGTTTCTTAGACACCAAAAATCAACCACATTCATCATTCAGACACATTTAACCTACTAATTGTTTATAGCTTCCTACAAATGAATTGAAATTTGTAGTAGCTGTACAGTCGTAGAAACACTTTATATGTGTACCTGCAATAAAACTCATTTTATAATAATGAAAACAGTGATCGCAAATGTTTGACAGGTAGTGTATATAGAGCAGTAACTTCTCATCAAATACAAATCTGTGATATTTCTTTAGAAATTCTCAGCTTGACTGAATGAGCTATGTGTGAGAATGAATCATAATTAATATATAATTATAAAACTGATATCCATGGCAATAATAGAGATTTCCAAAGGGTAAAATAGCATCGAGTAATATTGCAGCAGTCAAAGAGATCTACATAGGAGACTGGACGTTTGAAGTAACTGATTAACTGACCGTACCGTTTGGAGGGTAGACTACAGCAAACTCCTCTGCACCAGTCTTGCCTAAGATAAAGAGAATATTTTACCCAATGAATGAGTAAATGACACACAAAAAAGACCACCCTTTATTTTATTTTGAGTATAAGCATAGGGATAAGTTATTATCTTATCATTATTTCACAGTGTCAGAAAAAAGCAGAAAACATATAACCGAACAGAAGCCTGAACAACTAAATAATTTTCAGTATTCAGCCTGTCTTTCCTTGTTCTTTTTAGAAGACTTTCAGTTTTTCAAAGAAATCTGCAGGGAGGTTTTAATACACTTCCCACCTGCTTCTCACGACCCAAGTAATCTAAACACATTCACAATGTTGAGGTCTGGACTTTGGGGTGGTCAGTCTACTGTTCTGAGAACAGCAGTGGTTTCTTTGTTAGATTTGTACATTTTCTTCTTTTCCAGAAGCTACTTCATCATGTATTAAAAATTGTTTGTGCATATCAGCATTGATGCTGATGAATAATGAAAATCAAATCACCAACTTCAGATGCTGATCTGCATTCCAAGACTTGCACTTGTCCTCCACAATGTTTGACCCATGATTGTAAACATGGTTTGAAATGTCTTTTCTGGACTAATTCATTTATAAAACATTAGGGCTTCTTGACAGCTACACATCCTATCAGACCCACTGTGAAAGGATGGACAGAAACAGGATTTTTAGATCTGAAGCAAGAGTAGAGCTTGATTTTCTCCTCTCCCTCAAAGATGAAAGAGCTGTTTGTCTGATGAAAACAGTTCTGGTGGTCTATCAGGCCTTGCATGGTTGTTATGAGTGCCATTTTCTCTGTGTATTTTTATCATTTTTTTAATTTTTATTTTCCCCTTCTTTATTCAAGTGGATTATCTTATATCTAATCTCTTCAGAAATATCTCCTAAAAATGAATAACTTGTACTTAATCCCCTAATCTCTAATTTTTGGACAGTATTGTACACACACACGCACACACACGCGCACACACACCCACACCCACACCCACACACACACACACACACACACTGATGAGTTTTACCCTGAATGTAGGATTTAGGAGGGGTGGCACTATTGTAGCTGAAATGCTCCAAAACAGCAGTGTCTCGAGAGAAGCACAGCAGGACCTGTTATACAACAAAATCAGCACACAAACACATAAACACACACAAACACACACACACATACACAAACACAGCAAATTTCTTCCTGACTACAGAATTCTATTTTAAATCATTTTCACTACGTCAATGGCAAACTGCTATGGTGCAATTACCTTTGAAGAGAGCAGCCCTTAAGATCACCCTACAGTAAGAGCTGCCATTCTATCACTTAGCAGAAATTCAACTAATAGTATTTGAAGACAGAATTAATGTTGAGGGAACAGAAATCCTTATTTGATGTATTAACTGGCTTTTCTGTTTGATCATTGTTAGTATGCAAAGGAAAAACAAATGTAAACAAATGCACATACATTATATATATATATATATATATATATATATATATATATATATATATACATATATATATACAATGTATGTGCATTTGTATATATATATATATATATATATATATATATATTCTAATTTTTTTACATAATGCCATGCCAACATTTCATGACAAAAAGGCAACAGAACAGCAAATAGAAATGACTCAAAGTAACTTAAAATAAAACCTTATTACATTAACTTGCACTGAAAATTGAAATTTGAACATGCAAAATTGAAAGTGTTTTGGTTCCCTTTTGCTCTAATGTTTCTTTTTTGGCAATACAAAGTTTTGATCTGACAGTTGTGATGCCTCCTCTATTTTTGATACTTTCCAAGTTTTTAAAAAACACTGATTAAATTTATGATTCAAAACAGGTTTACTGTTACACAACACATCAACAGACAAAATTCTTTATCTGCTCAGCAACTTTGTACAAAACCAATATTTATGTTCAGCCTGCTGCAGTTAATCATTTCACACCTGTGGCCTGTGATAAGTCTCCATAGAGATGACATAATTTGCTCCTGAGAACTCTGCTAACTTTCAGTTCTGTTCACTTCTTAACTTTTTAGAAGCTAACAAAAGCATGCTGTAAATTTATATTATGTCTTACTCATTTCTCACTGATACAAATTGAGAACGTTTGCCAGAAGTGCAGATTCTAAACTTTCAACTGACACCACATTGTGTTTGTAAGAAGAAGAGGAGATATTTTATGATGATTTGAATTGGATGAAAAGCTGTTGTGCATACAGTCTTATTTTGCAGATTGTAAGTGTAATTCTTTACATAACTAAGCAAATAATCATGTCTAATCATGTCATTTGTGTAATTACATTTGAATAGTACAGAAAAACAGCATAACTTTCGACTTCTAAGGGTTAAAGTTCACAAAAACATAAAAACAAACATGGGCTTAGAGAATGAATAAGATAAAGCAGGGCTGAGATGGCACCTGTCCCAGCCGTAGCAGCTGATGCAAGGTGAGACCAGATATTACAAACCACAACAGGTACTGCATTAAATTACCAGATCTTTCAGTTTGGCCATGTAACAAAATGCAATAAGCGTGTTAACACTGATGTCTTGCTTTGTCCTTTTGAGACACTATGACTTAATTAAATACATATGTAGCTATATCTGGGTCAGCCATTGTAGCCCACAAAAACATGCATCTAACTGCAAACACAGAATGCCTGAAAACAGTAATGTGTGGATTATTCATTATTTATACCTGAAAGAATACTAGGAGTGGTAATCTCTAGGCACTTTACGATTCGATTCGATTACGATTCAGAGCAACTGCAGGTCACATAGCAGTGATGCGTTATTCGCATTTATAAGCAGCGCAGTTGGTTTCATGGAACATTAAATCTGCAACGAGAGACCGTCAAACACAAAAGTTGTGAAGATGAAGTCGCTTCTCTTTCGAATTGTCCCCGTTCCACCTTAAATGGTGCCGCATTTAGATTCCTCAGAATTTAAGGTGGAACGGGAAAATTCGAACAAGAAGCTGGAGAATGAGAAGCGACTTCAGCCTCAGAAAACAGTCGAACGTTGAAAGACATTTTACGAGAAACTGATCTACTTTTGAGGAAAAGTTTTCTGGTGGAGATGGGAGGAAAGCGGCTATAGCTGAGCTAATGCTTAAAGCAGAACAGAGTAAGTCCGCGTGTTCGTTTATATTTTTTTAACCTAACTTTTACTAGGACATTAATACATACTGGACATTAAATGTTGTGGCTCCCAAGGTGGTTTGATTTTTGTTGAAAGGTCAAAATGGCTGTTCTTAACATTTGTGTGGTGACTCCTGACCTAAACTGGCTTTAATGCAGAGGGAGCTGGTCGGATTTCTCGCTCATCCAGTAGTGTTTTGTGCCGCCACAGACTGTCCGGGCGCTGCACTTCCGCACTTCCAAGTTCCGCCTTTTGCATTCCGTCAACATTACGTTATAAATTAAATATTTAGAAAATCGATTTTTGACATTTGTGAATCGATTCACAATCGTCCACGTCCGCATCGCGATGCATCTAAGAATCGATTTTTTCCCGCACCCCTAAAGAATACTATCATTAAGGTCACCATATCTTATGCTGGCTAGCCTAACATGTTTACACATTATCATGAAGTCAAAAATGTAAGTTTGTATGGATCCTGTTAAAAGTTTAGCTTACAATGCTGTGTGAACAAAGATCTGTGCTGTTTCTCCAAGGTACTGTATGTAAATTCCAACCAGAGAGAAATAAAATAAATGGCATGCGTGCATTAATGCCATAGAATGACAGTGAGTGCCAAGTAAAACTTTTGTAAACCTTATAAAAGGCACACACAGTCATCAGGTGTCTAAGGAAACTTATGAAATGAAGAAAAGGACTAAATAAGACACATAGTGTGCATCCAGTCAGCTCTCACCTGATACAGAAAGTCTTCAAACACAAAGTAATAGTCATCATTACTTGCAGTCAGCTTCACATCCTGAAGCAAATGAAAAAGAAACATAAATGTCTCCCATAAGAACTACAATTATCAATCATCCAACATGACTGCCAAATCTAATCAAAATGCAATCTAACTAAGGCACATACGCTATCCACAGACAGGCATTCTGGTATTCAAGGCATACCACAGACAGCACACACGTGCAGTCTGGACAAGTGGAAATGATATGGCAGATTTCATTCAGCTGAGCTGGTTTCACTAATAGTTTATATTTCTTTCGCCCAGATCTAATCTGCGTTCATATGCTAAATGTACCAAGAAAACATGACCTTGGAACAAGATGACTACAGGATTTGGATGGAACACTAAACCTAATTAAGAAAACCTTAAGATATCAATCAAATAGCCACAAAATCTATTTTTATTGAATAAACTGCACTTCTTAAACAATGGCATTCTCAAATGTGTATGTGTGTGTCTCTCTCTGCACCTTATAAATTAGATTGTCCACCAGCAGGTCATGGTGTATAACTGCAGCCTTCAGTTGCTCATAATGCATGATGTCCTGCAAAAAAAGAAAAATCAGGTTAGTGGATCTAACCTGAATGACGTAATACCACATCTTCATACCAGTACTACAATCAAAGCTGTAGGAATTCAGATTCCTAGTGTTCAAAAAGCAGTGAGAGTTCAAAAGCACAAGGAGCTGAAATGATTACCCTAATCATTTTTAAGCCACCTAAATATGCAGTACTGTGCAGAAGTCAGAGACCACTCTTTCATACATTTACTTTCCAGTTAAAACAGCAATTAAGTAGTTTATTTTTCAGCATCAGAAAAAAAAGCAGAAATCAAAGCTCCAAAGTTCAGTCTTAGAAGTTGGTTGCATTTTCTGATTCCAAGCAATCACAATTACAAATTTAGACTCATCGGTCTTGATGCTCTAGTGCAAATTTTCTTCTTTTGTCTCTGTTTCCTTTTCTCAGTTCACAGCTTCTTGACAGCTATACATCCTAATGATCACTAAATACAAGTTATGTTTCAGAATCAGTAAAGTAAAATAGCAAATCTATCAGTATTTCATTTGACCACTCTTTATGTTTGCCACTTTAACTCTTCCATCCTTCCAATCTTAAAATCAACAATTTACAGCTGCTTCCTCCTAACAAAAGCTGCTACCAAGGAGTCACTTGCATTATGTTCCCCTTCAAAAAGACAGTAAAATTCACACAAGCAACTACCCAAACTCACCTTAGCTGCCCTGCAAATTTTTCTCATGTGTATCTAAAAAGGCTAAAGAAGATATTTCTGAGAAGATTAGATATTTCACATGCATTAGAAAGGAGAAATGAGTGAAAAAAAGTTTCCAAGACTAGAAACAGATAAACAGAACTTAAAGCTTTCATCTTTAAAAAAGAAGAAAATCAAGCTCCACTCTTGCTTCAGATCTGAAAAAATCCACAGGTGTGTCTGTCCATCCTTCCACTGTGAGCAGACATCTCAACACTATGAGTCTGAAAGGATGTGCAGCTATAAAAAAATTGTTACTGAGAAAAGTAAATAAAATGAAACTTGCATTAGAACACTGAAACTGGACATCTATTTTTCTCTGAAAAACACCCCTGCAGATTTCTTTGAAAAAACAAAAGCAAGTCTCCTGAAATGAGATATTTTTTGTTAAGCATATGTTTGTTTTTCTTCTGAAGCTGAAAAACAAATAATTTTTGACGAGAAAATAAATAAACGAAAAGAGTGGTCTCTAACTTTTGCACAACATGAATAGGTAGTAACATACACGTCCGCAGTATAAAACCTTCTTGACTGGAAAAAAATATTAACGGTGATATATTATCCTGGGCAAAGCATAAAAATAAAGACATGCAGAGAGATGGAAGTAAATTGAACCTTTCTTGACCTACTTTGGCAGGAAGTGAAGGATGAATGTGAAAAAATGCAGGAAAGATGTGGAAAACTGTCAGGACAATTCATCCATATCCAGACCTTTAGCGTAAAGACATTTTTTTTTACAAAATGATGAAGTGCCTGTTTTATGTCAGAACAGAAAGATTACAATTCACCTGAAAAGTCTTAAAAGAAACCACTGAGCTGGAAAGCATTTAATGGTTCTAGGGGTTTGTCAAATATGGGACTTGTCACCTGTGACATGAAACACACTGACAGGAAACTAAGCTACAGCAGGTCAGGCAAGGGTAACAGTCACCATCATTAACAGGAAATGTGTCAGATCACCGCACACTTGAGTATCAGAACTGATATGCCTGAATTTTAACAGCTACACTCAAGATCCAAAGCTATTAGAATTATTTTACTAGAGTTTGCAATGAATCCAACCTAACGTAGAGTCAAGCTTACTTGGTTAGCCCTGAAAGCTCAAATCTATGAATAGAAAATGGCACAAAAAACATTGCATCATTGATGGAAAGGGTAAGACAGTCTGCATTGTCATTTTTAAAAGGCATTAGTTCTAATCATTTTTAATACTGATTTTCTGGTGGCCACCTCTTGAAGTAGTACTGCAGAGATTACTGTATCCTCTGGACTTCCTGACATTGCAGGAATCACTGCCATTTTTTTCAGCTGGCCTGGTCACTGTCTTCAAGACAGCAGCTCTATGTCTGGTTACATAATTGTTCCATCTAAAACATTAACAATACCACTGATTTCTCGTCATCGTTTTTGCCATGCCATCTGTTCCTGATCTGCAAAAGTCTAAGGCAGTGTCACACATGAGAAGGATTAGCCAACTCAATGAAAATATGATGGCTTTTAACATGCATTTACCTTTCTGTCACTGTAGCTCAAAAGTACACTCTCAAGACCCCATTCCACTGCAGAAGATCAATCTGAAAGATGACTAGCAATGTTGTAGGTGGCAGCATGCTGGCTAAGGGTGGCCTGATTTACACAAGAGGAGGTTGTGTGAGCATCCCACCACACAAGCAGTTCATAGCTAACCTGATATTTATGTTGGCACCTGCAGTACTGGAGGTAAATTTAGCGAGCCAGAATAAACATGACATCTAGTTAAAAAGTTCTGCAGCATCTGCAGGTCTTGCTTCTGAAATCAAGACACCGGTACAAAACACGTGGGAGTGTTTAACTGATACTAGTGCGTCCAGATACAGTACAGTGAAAACATATATGCCCCCTCCTGATTTCTTCTATTTTACGTGTGTCACACTTAACTGATGGAGACAACCTGAGTAAACACAACATGCAGTTTTAAATGATCATTTCATACACATCAGGTAAAAAATGTATCCAACACCAACTGGCCCTGTGTGAATCAGTGATTGCCCCCTCAGTTACTCAATCAACCAATTTACCAAATTTAGGTTTTGACTGGGATCGATTCAACTAGACACATCCTGGCTTAATTACTGCCAGCCTATACTTGACTTATACTTGACCTATACTTTTGAATCTATACTTGGCTTAAATAGAACCTTTCCAGAAATCTGAAGTAGGCTAAAATGTCTCGACAAGCAGCACACTATGCTGCAATCAAAATAAATCCCGGTAAGAGATGAGCACAATTGGGTTATAAAGCAAGACAATGATTCAAAGCACAAGAGCAAGTCCACCTCTGCATGGCTCCTGACTTAAACCCCATTGAGATGGCAGAACCTTAAATGGGCAGTTCATGCTTGAAGGCCCTTCAGTGTGGCTGAATTAAAGCAGTTCTGAAAAGAAGTCTGGGCCAAAATTCCTCCACAGTGATGTGAAAAACTGATCAAATAAATGCACAACAACAACAACAGCACTGAGACATCACATGATTAACAGAGAAGAGCAGATTGATTGATCAGCAGAAGTAGCCACTATTTGCGTCAGTCTTGAAGGGCTAAAAAAAAGTATCCAGGTGGATCCAGCATCCTCATGAAGCTGGTTTTGAGAATGCAAAGAGTGTGCAAAGTTGCATCGAGGCAGAGATGACAACTATGAAGAATCTAGAAGTTTTTTTTTATTCCATATGTGTTATTTCACAACTTCAATGTCTAAAATGTAGAAAAAAAACCCTTTATAATTAATGTGTTTTGACTGGTACTGTTTCTCGATGTGAGTCAATGAGTCAAAGTCACTCACTGCATTCCTTTCCAATCTCATCACAGCACAGATACACAAACTCTACCTCTAAGTACAAAAGGACACCAGTAGAATGAAATATGCTTGTGTGCACACATGTGTTACCTCAGGTTCGTTAGTAGCGTTGAGGATTAGAGCCCATAGCTGAGCTCTGAGGCCAGTGGGACACCCCTGCCTGCTGTACTGCTGAGCCGCCGCACTGTCCTGCTCACTCACCACTAACACACACACGCAGAAAAAGATTCACTGTATACACTCTCAAGAGGTGCTCTAGACCTACAAAGCTAATCCATACACTTCAGTTTCACAGACTACAAACTCCAGGTGTAGAAAAGAGGGTTAAAAAGCATTAAAGCGTAAACACTGAGCCTCTCTCTCCATCTAGGCTGTTAATTTGATGTGCATGTGTGGCAGCACCACTCTCTGCAGCATTTGATGGGAGGCCTAAAGGTTTGTGTATATTTCTCGTGTGCATTTAATGAATGAGTGTATAAAAAGGGAGACAGAGAGAGAGAGCTATCTGGGTGTATGTGTGAGTGCATGTGTGGGTGCATGCATGTGTCCATGTGTCTTACAAAGAGGATCATGAAAAAGGAAGATTGTGTGCCCTCTTACCTAAATTCCAACTGTGTTATGTACAGATAAAATGGAGTGATTAAACAAATACTCTCAGAATGATACAGTGATCTAGCAGTTAAACAAACAGTCATTCTGCAATAAAGAGAGGGGGGTAACATTAAGCTGTTTATTTTTTTACCTTTCTTCCCGATACGAATGTGTTCGCTTTCAAACAAATCTGTGTGAAGATGCAAAAAGGGCAAACAGAGAGCGAGAGAGAGCGCATGAGAGAGTGAGCAAGAGACAGACAAAGAGAGAGGGAGAAACACATTTTACTAATTTAATGAAGAATCCAGACTACTTGCTCACCTGACAGCACATAGACTGGACATGAAAAGGGGCTGCTGCAGACCCTATTTTGATGTTTAAAAACGTATGTCATGATTTACTAAATGCAGCAGCACTAATAGACCCAAATATGCAATTGCTGCTCTTTCATGCGTTTGCCTTATTGCATATGTTCGCTGTCCAAAGAAAACCATGTATCTGCATTTTGGTTGATTTTCATTTTTCTACATCATTTCAACACACCAGCTGTCCTTTACGTTGTGTGAAAATTTCATGAAGAATGGACCAATAGAAATGCTCTAAAATCATTTGGAATAAAACCTCTTTTACAATAACTTAGATTAAGACGTAAGAGTGTTTTTGCCTTCTCCTGTAAAGTTACTATTTTGGAGATACATGTTTTTCTTTGGACAGCAGCGATATGCATTTAAGGAAGTTTCCCCCTCAAAGCACAAAATAGAAAGAAAAAAGCAGAGTGCTATTCAAACACGTTTAGTTTTATAAAAAAAATGTGAATTATTCTGCATTATTCTTAACTTGACAAAGAAACTTACAAAACGGTAAAATCATTCCAGAAATATTTCCTAATACTTTGGGAAAATTTTACAACATTATCTGTATATAAGTGTCTTAACAGCAGGTTTTCCCTAAATAATGATTTTGTAAATGACTGTTTAAAGCACATATAGAAAATCTTTTGACTGTTCAGTTTCTGCATTACTAAAGCTACTTTGTCCCCACTGTGGAAGCAGCCTTTGATACACTGCACTTAGCTAAGAAGACACGCTCACGTCAAGTTCAAAATCATACAGCTCCTCAACAATGCACTAAGTGAAACTAAACAGGGATTTTACAATTTCACACAGTTTCCAAATGCACTGAGCACAGAACCTGAGTTCAGCTCATTCTACCAGCCAAAAATGTGATTCACGTGTTTCAAAACAGAAAGTCATTATTTCTAACTTTTCATGCTGACATAATGGTGAACTTTCCTCTCAAAGTAATGTTGAAACAATCACATACTTTCTTAAAAATATATATATTTTTTTATTTAAGCAATATTCATAGGGGATTCGTTTTACATGGGGAGATGGGGAAATGCAATTTTTTACTGGCGTTTGTGGTGATTTTAGTCCTGTCCAAATGCACCATGTTTGTTATTTTTATGTACTGCGTGCTCTCACGTCAGTAAAGATTCCAGCACCTTTTGCCTTCTATAAAATGAACCATAAAATAACGTCACGTTGTATTAATCCTGTGCGAATCGACATGTCAGTAAAAACACTGTGGAAAAAAGAATTTCTTAAGTATGAAGGCACTTGAAAAAGTATTTACCTCCGCAGTTTACTGACACTTTGGTTTTCAGGTCAAAAGTAGAAATTTTTACTAATGTATGTATTTTAATTATATCAGTAAAACTATTTGGTAATAGGTCTATGTTTGTGTTCATGTCTCTTTAGGTCTTTATTTCTGTTTCTAAAAATCTTTAGCCAACTAGCCTATTCGCATTTCAGATTTTCTGGATTTCTCTGTTAACTACAGACTGCACAGAAACATTTCAGATATGGTTACATAATAACATCAACCACAGCCAAACCAGCGATTCTGTGCATAAGTCTATTAAAGGCAATGGCTTGAATGTAGATGTCCAAGCAAAATATAATACAAATTCTAATATGAACTGTTTTCGACTTTTGTCAAAAGTTTTCAATACTCCGTAAAAACATAACATGCTTTTCCAAAGATAGGTTTTAGAGACCTACAGTATTTTTGATCCACAGTTGAGACATAAAGCACAAGGATGTTTCATTTTTCAGGTCAAAAGAACTTCACATGTCAGTGACATGCCATTGCTTCACAGCTGGATGGACTGAATTAAGGCATACCTGGGGGAATGTGTGCGTGATCATCTATGCCGAGCTGGCAGCATGTCAGACTGAGTTCTGGATAAGCCTCTCTCTGAAAAGATAAGGAGGAGATATTTCCTGCATCTGTAAAGCTGTAAAGCTGTTCTTTGTTGTTATCTACTGTAATTGCACATCATTGTGAGCCCTCATTACACATAAAATGGCAATTAAAATGGCACTAAGGTTTGTTTTTGGCTTTGGCTCCTTTATCTCATTAAAATCTGCCCCAAGGGTAGTTACAAGGTGTGCGTGTCCATGTTGGACAGAGTAAAAAGGAGCTTTCTCTACACTGCCATGTTTACTATCATTATATAAAAGAATCACACATTGTTGGAGGCACTGCAGTAGCTTCTGAGCAAGCACGAACATTCAGAACAGAATGCAGATCACTGAGGGCTTACTATTGATTTATTTCATAATAGCAGCAATAAAAGGCAACTGAGCGTGAAGTATATTCCTCTTCATATTCATACAAATCTTTGGCTTCGTTAGATCACATTCTTGACAGATCAAAATTAAAACAGCAGCACTGAGAAATCATGTTATTAAAGGGGAAAAGTATTTTTAAAGGCATAAAAATACACTTTTTACTTAACATTCAAGGATTAAAGAGGGGTTTAGAGGGATTAGAGAGGGGTTATAAAACAAGGCATTGAACAGGAAAAGAGGCAGAGAAAGGAGGAGATGGGAGTCCTCACCATCTGTGGAATATCACGGACATTGAGGGAGATCTGAATAAGGCCCCAGTGGCTCCTGGCAGTGAGCCCCTCTCTGCAGTCATGATTGGGGTTCCTCAGACTGATCAACACCTTCCAAAGAAATGGGGAAGAGGGAGGGCAATTACATGTGATACTGCACATGCAGAACACACACTGGTCATCAAAAGTTTGTGGACACCTACGTTTGGGGAATTACACCAATTATTTTAAGAATTCTGCATAATTCAATCATTCGGATGTACACAAAATCAATCAGAGCAGTTTGATGTGAAACGGTTCATTGTAGAGAAACTTACAGACTCAGATCCCCGTACAGTGGTGGTGATAAGAACCAAGGTTGCGATATTTACAATGCAAATACAGCCATTTTGACCAGTAAACCTACATCTACATATCTTCTGAGTTTTTACATGTAATGATGATAAGGTTAAAATAGTGGTAAATTCAAAAATATGAGCTTTCTTTGGGGACTATTTTGCCATAGAATGTCCTGCACGCACCTCTTCACCATAAATGGCTTTAAAAATGTCTTAAAACATCTTAAAACTCTCAATAAACAATGTCTAAGACATCAGGCAGCGTATTAGTTTCATATGATAACTTTCTATGAGGTAGCTTTAGAGATCTTAACACTTTGGATGTCCAGTTCCTATCACCACCAATAAAACAATTGTACTCTGTACGTTTCTCTAAACACATTTCACATCACAACTTTCTGAACAAACTTGGTTCCATTGTAATGATGGAATTATGCTGATTTTTTTTTCCCAAAACGAGTGGGATGGTTAGAATATGTCTTTTTGTTGAAGGGGCTAAACTGACAAAAGTACTATTTTGGGATTAATTCCAAAGCCCACACATTTTATTCCCTTGTTGTTTGCACTTAAACCTTTCAGCTATTTAAAACACCTTTGCAGCAAAAGATTTGACTGAAAAGATTTTCAGTTTGTGCTTTTAATAATTGTTTATAATAGTAAACTGTGAAATTGTATTTTAAAGAAAACCTGCTCTACATACAGAGGAAGACACTTTTGTGAACATGTCCCAAAGTATAAGCAAACAGGTATTCTTGCAGTTATTTGTGTTTTCTTAACTGAAAAGTGACAGCGAAAGTCTACGTTGCTCTTAACATTTCAAAAAGCAAGCAGTCCTTAAACATTTGATGGGAACTGTATGTCGTTTCATAACTTCTGTGATCTATTTATTCCTTTATACTTATTGGGTCTGAGTTATAATTGCACTGACTTAAATGTTCCATGAAATGTTCCCTCATTTCCTTATTTATAATTGCATAGACCTAAAATTTCCCAACCGCAGTATACTGAGTTCTCGCTGTAGAAACGGTGTGCATGCAGTTCCACTACATGTATCATTCATGACTAAAAGGAAAGTGAGTTTGCTTACAGCAGGCATCATGAAATCAGGAAGCATGTATTCATGCCTGTCTGTCACTGATAATTTCTCTCCGTCCAATTCAGAGTCATTTAGAGGACCATTTCCCACTGGAATCCAATCAGCTATTTTATACCCCAGTGCTGCATTCACTTCATTAGCACCGGATGTTTTCAATCACAACTCACCTCTAGGAAATCTTTGGGTGCATAGACAGGCCTAAACTTGCTTAGATCTGCAAAAGAAAGACAGTGATGACTTGTGTATTGTAAAGATTTTGAAGCAGTGAGTCAAAGAAGTAATACATATTGCATGTTACGGACACAGAGACAATAACTTGAGGGTTGCTTTAAATCAGACACAGAAACTACAATTCAGATACCCATCAAAAATTTGGGGACACTTTGCCTTCTTCGAAAATTTTCTTATATAAAGAGAGCTAAAGCTTCTGTCCAAATTCATTAAAGAGACTTCCTTGGTATGAAGAGCAGGTTTTCTTTTACAAACTACTGTTACAAGCACATTTTGGCCCAAATGTAGGTATAAAAGTTTGAGTACTGACATCACAACAAGGGAATAAAATGTGTGGAGTATGATTATTCCCATGGTAGTAGAGGAAACTGTTAGACATCTTAACACATTTTGGATATTGATTAGTAATTTTAAAAGCATTTGAGTAAAATGAATGAAAATATGAACTTATTTTTTGTTTATGAACAATTCATTTCAAAAATGCAGAAGTGCAAACTTTACCAGTAACAACAAAGGGAGGTTTATTGTGAGAGACTGAGAGGCTAGTTTTCACAGTAAATCAAAGTAAAACCGAATTAATTCCATACGATTCAATGTAGTTTAAACCACTTAAGCTTTCCAACCTAAATACATAAAAATATATTGATCAAAACAAACATGATTAGATAATATATTTTTTACCACCAAGTTGAAAAGCAAATAGCAGCATAATAAAATTTTCATATATTTATTTACATATTAGATTTATGTATTATAGATTTACATCTATAATATGTTTTTGATTAATCTGTGCATAAGACCTTCCAAAAAGTGAATTTATATGGGGGGAGTATGGACAGCTACCACTGAATACGTTGGACAGTTTAACAAAACTGCACTGAAACGAACCCCGTCATGTGTACTGCAGCCTGGCTGGCTCTCAATAAGAATTGTAAAAAAAAAAACCTGTGCAATTTCAAAAAAATATCTGTCCAATTGCTGTCAAAATTTGCAGAGTGGGCTGCGATGGGTATATGAGAGCATGACTGAAAGCAGTGTTAGTTTGTACCCTGCTCTTCATTGTCTTTGACAGTATTTTTTATGATCTAATCAGCTTTCTATGTAAAAGAAAAAAAAGCCGGGTGTTTCCAAACTTTTGGCAGGCAGAGTATTCTCTAAAGACACTGCTGCACATTCCACACAGTTTAGAAATGAGAGAGGCAGAAGAAGAGGCAGACAGTAAGGCAGGCAGTAGTTTAGGGAGGGTAGTTGTGGTTATTGGGACTGATTCCAGTGGTCTGGACATGCTCTGGTTTCACAGGCTAAGCTGTTTATGCCAGCATCCAGCAGACAGTTGTAAATGTTATCATGCACACTGCAAACTGATAGCATTGTTATGGAACTGTTATATTCCACAGGAGAACTGTATACAAGCAGAGGCTGAAAAATAAACACAGTGAGATACACTCATACGCAGAGAGGTAATAATGCTAACACATGAGAGGAGCGTAAAGGCTTCTGGAGGCACAGTGTTACGAGGAATGTCCCTCCTGATACTTCATGCATTTGCCACCTCGACGTTAAGATGTTGGCAGTATACTGCAGGCTGAAACTGTCCTGTCGAATCTTTAAGATTCTGATTGTGCCTTAAAGAGACTCTCAGAGAGAGATATGGAGCGACTTCTGGACTGTAAAACACACTCTCTTTCTCACACAATATTCAGGTAGTAATTCTGACCAAATGGGAACTCTGAAGTTTCCAACTTCAAAGTGGGAAAAACCTACTTGAATGTCCCTCCATCTTGTAATTCAGGAGTTACGAGTCAGAATTTCTCAAGAACTCTGCTCAGACTGCTCAGAGGTGCTATTTCAGGATCTCTCAAAATAAATAAAGCACTAACCAAACAACTCTTAAATAAAAGTTTTTAAAGAGATTAAAAGCTCTAGCCTACTATGAACATCCATTTTTTAGATGCTGAAGCTGCATGAATGCTTTTAGATGGGAAATCTAACAAGAAGTTATTCACATGTTTGTAATTCACTTATCTGTAAGCATCAAGAGATAAGGACATGCCTCTACATGGTGTTAAGGGATACAATAAAAGGACTCGACATACTGAGTCTTTTGTGGCAGCTTGAGGCACAAATCAGACACTTTATGGCTACATTTTATATCCGAAACTGGCGCACATGCCTATTAGCACATAGTATAATGCAAAATGTGTTTTTCTTCCTCATGTATATGAATTTAAGGGAGGGCCACAAAAAATGGGTGGAGATATTACATGTTTGTCTGATTAAACACTACGCTTGATTTACTAAAATTTGAGCAACTCACTGCAACCGATTTTGCGTCAGTTTTCCTCTGCCTTTTAAAACTAGGCCTAAATTTGCATTAGGGTGTAAAAAGACTTCTTGTAGAGAGATTTCTGTTAACTATGGCAGTAGACACAGCAAAGGTAAAAAGAATAAAGGTACAAGCCTCAAACACGTGCTGAAAAAATATTTACCATGACAATAATAATGTTTAAACTCTCAGGAACACAACTATCAGCCACTTTCATTTTGTTGTGTCTCAAACTTGCTAACATCATTATTTTAATGCATCTTTTAAACTTTGAGCCTCATAATGGAGCAGTTATTGGGCGGGGCAATGCACAGTTTATGTGGTAAGCTGATATGTGATAGTCAAAGGTTAAATTTAGATGCTATTGAGTGCATAATGTGCACATGTGTACATTTGGCCTCGAGTGCATTAAACAACTGGGATGCCTCTCCTTCCCTCAAAAGACAGATCAGTGAAACCAAAGTGAACAGTATGATGCATAATTGCTTAACTTGCAGGTGTATTATTCAGTTATTAATAAGCCTTATTATTCAGTGACCACTGCAAGTTATTTCATAACTACTATGAAAATAAGTTATCTACTTATGACAGTAGAACTGAAGTGTGAACTCACATATGCAAGCTTGCACTTTTTTTTCCCCCTTTATTAATTAAATGTCCTATTTGTGTAGATGAAATACAGGCATTGAGTAACACAAGGCTCGTAAGCCTAAAGACAACTCGAACATGGACTGCGTATGTGAGGGAGATTTAAGATTTAAGTGCTTGTGCACAGAGTACAATAGTAGATACCGAGCGCACTAGTTTAAATGTGTGTCATCTGCAATGCTTACATATGTGTCAACATGTGCAATACTAGCACTTTCACTTTCAAGGCCTTTTCTCATCGTTCATAACAGACAAATCTTCAGCAAAAAACTTCAAACTTGCTATTAAATTAAAACCATTTCTTGAACAATTCCTTAGAAAATCTGTTTAATCATAAGAAAATGTAAAAGATATACAAACAGTACATGTGATTACCCAGACTCAAGGACTGTGTTTTTTTCCATGTTGTCTGGGCCTTTCTTAGACATTACAAATAAGATCCAAGCCCCAGACACAAGGTTTAAACATACTGAAGTCATTGTACTGTTTACAGCGACAAGAGAAGACAGAGCAACATTTGTGGACGATTGCAGGCTCTACCTCCTTAAAATTTCATTCATTCTTTATTTATTCAAACGAAACTTCACTGATGTGTCTAACCTCTCTAACTGTGTCTCCTGGAAAATGAACTCCTCAAATTCCACAAGAAATCTGCTATCCACTCACGCTAACATGACTAAAATGTTATGATACTCAAGTCACAGTATTGCTAAATTATGTATATACAATGTAAGACAGAGTATGTGTAATTTGGAATATAAAACTGTGCAACATAAAATGAAAAATCATGACAAGTTGTGAGAAAATCTCAAAATATATTATGATAAATGTGCTTTGTTTGGACTCTGTTGTGTTTCACAGTGGATTTACCAACATTCATTTACTGCCAATAAATGGTTTTATAGACCTTGGAAGCCTGGGTTTCCACAGTCAAATATAGAAACAGGCTGGAAGCTGAGTTTGTGCTTGGTGTCCAAACATGCTTTCATGTGCCTGGAAGCCTTTGGTGAACTACTGGAAACAAATGCAGGACAGCAATGTGGTATGTTACAGCTTTTGAGAAAGTCTGAGGGTTGTGCTAACGTGAAGGTTTCACTTGTGTATTTAACCCTTGTTTCATTTTGCAATTTGAATTTGAATAAGATGAAAACTTTTGGTTGTGTGTACATTCTTGTTTTGCAGGAAATAATAACTATCCTTAACACTTTTGCCATGTCTTTGTTATTACATATTTAATTACATAGTGAATTACATGATGAGTTACATTTACATTGAATTTACATTCTGTTTTGATATGTTGAAGTCCTTTTCAAAACAAGACTGTAGGCACAACAATACCTCATATTAAAAAAAAAAAATGGCATAGACTGAAAGATCCAACTCTGCACTTCTGAGTTACAAATGAGAAATAACTAATACTGAATAAGGCAATACTTTAAAGCAGGGTATTGTTCATAAGGCTACATGGCACTTACATAAGGTTGTCATGACAACTGACATAGCCCTACATAAACGTTTATAAATGCTTATTCTATTTGGTATATAAAGGTTACACTTCCCAATTTTGATCAAAGTTAGCTAATGTAGTGTTTACGACAGATGACACTTTTTGAGTTAAATTCATGATGCCTTATGACACCCTACAGTAAAGTTTCACCTTGAATAACACCAAACTATAGTTATTAATGGCAATAACTGTGCCTTCTATGACTTACTTTACATGGTGAAACTTTCAAGCAACTAGTTATCATGTGAGTTGACTGTAATATAATTTGTGTGCAACCTGATAGATACACAAAGCCATTCAAAGACATAGTTACATGCAACACATTCAATTACTTCATTAGACAGACAAATTAGTAGCTCATATTTTAATGAATTGTATTGTTCTCACTATAAAGTCATCTGCAAGGTGAAATTGACATTTGCACCATTTTAACATTGTGTATAGTTTCCAGCTGTCACTGCTATTTTTTTTCTATATCTACATATCTGTCATTTATCAACTTATCTAGGGTTCTTTACTATATATTTAACATTTTTATCTGTAGAGTGAAAATTAACTGATTAACTGTTTCATGAAACTTCACAAAGTTGAGACGATTGCAAGTGATTTGAATTTCAGGTGAGTTGCAGGACGCTTTACATTATGCAATCCACTACAATTTAGTTTCATATAGGTTTCAAGCATCTAAAGCTTAATGAAAATTTCACCATTTAAAGCCAGCCAATTGTTTGAGGTATGAAAAATTTGAAATTGCATTTGTTACCTGGTTCATCAGTGCCCATCTCATTCCATTTGTTCGTCAGCTCCTTCTGCTCTGAAATGGGCCTCTGTAGTACAAATCTCATATTTAGTCCAGAGAGTTGGGTGAAGAGTTACGAAAAGTTAAAGTTTTGGTTCTAGCCGGTAAGCCTTTGTTTCCACTGTATGGCGTGAATGCTGATTTGAGTGGACATTACCTTCCGGGCCAGTGGAACACCCAACTCAGTGCACATACTGTTCAAACTCTTCAGAATCCGCTTCTCCCAGCTTGCCTGCAAGGAAGCCACACACAGCAGTACACTCAGTGGTACACATATGAGGTATGTGAAAGCAGTGAAGGATTTAGAGAGGAAGTGGGGAGGGAATTCAAAGAGTGAGAGAGAAAGGTCATACCTGGGCCTTGCGCATGTACGCCAGGGGCTCTTTAGTGTGCTCAGGGGGAGCTGCAGGGTGCCCAGGAGGAGGCAAACTGCAAACCACGCATACACACGTACAAGCTGAACTTGTATTGTACTTTCAAATAATAATCTATTTACAGAAGGCTGCAGAACAAATCAGTTCATTAATTGTTAGTGCAATAGGCTTTTGTAATGCTGATATTACATAAGTCTGCAATATGCAAATAAGACTCCAATAAGTCACAAACACTCTTACTGTGTGTTATAAGCATCCTGACCAAACCTCAGATGATCTACATATGTTTCTGTGGGTGTTGTAAAGAATCAACATTTACACAAGCCTGTGTCAGTAACAAAATCCTTAATCACAGCTCATTGCTGTAAGTGTGCAGAAAGAATACAGCTACATCACTGTTATTTTGGTGTCCAGGTGGCCGTAAAAGCCCAGTATAAAAGTTGCTATTTCACTGTTATTTATTGTTAATATGGTACAGTAAATTTACTGCAAAAGTCATGCCTAGAAAAAGATCATCTGATGCCCCTGGCCATTAGAGCTAACAAAGTACTCTCTTAATCTCACACTGCATTTCCACTGACCTAATCACCACAGCAGCATGAGGCCAAAATGTACAAGAATTACATCGTCCAATGTTTACACCTTTGGTGATTTGTTTTCTGGCACAGGGAGCTCCCCAGATCTTTTTGAATTCCTTTAGTTTGAGAAAAGACCTTTTCCTTCATAATATGTCACAAGTAATGTAGAAAAATCCTTAGTGCCATAAAAAGGCAAAGGCCACAAGAAGCCATGCACTACAGTGGTTTTATTACTGGTCAGTTTGTTATTAAGCACAACCTAAAGCAGAGTAAAAGCCCCATACCGGTGACAAAATCACTGTAATGCACAACCTTAAAGGGCTTATTCCTTTTATAAAACGGCAGACAACATAAAATATGCTACATAAAATATGATATTTTTTTTTCCAGTAAAAGTTACTATTAAACAATTATAAACAATTCTTCCACCAAGAAATGTAGTTCCTTTAGAGTATGTTGTTGACAGATTTTAGGACCAGAACTATCCATTATTTTTACATTATTTTAACATCACCAAACATGTATGTGTCAAAATCAAACAAGGTTTTCAAAAATGCATGTCAAATGAAAGTTCTTTGGTTTTTTCTTGTACCACCTGACATTTGAGGTAGTAATTATTTTAAAGTTTTTAAATGTAAAATTAGGCCAAACAATTAATATACACAGTTAAATGATTACACCACCTGATGTTTTTAGATTTTGGGAAGGAAAAAGAAACTAAAATGAATTTAAAATGGATGAACTGAAAATTGTTTCACATAAAAGAGGTACTATTGAATAATTTGACACATGTAATGTACTTATTTAATTATTTTTTGGGGAAAATAATGGACTTGGACACAAAAAATGCACGTCATGTCAATGACCCTCATGTGTATGAATACTAGTGTCTTGCTATAGTTTGCAAAAAACAAATCAGCAATAAACAAGTTTTTACTGTCACTGGGTCAAAAAATGCATGTTATGCCAAGGGGTCTCCAATGTGTTTAATGTACACTACATTGTCAAAAGTATGTGGGCACCTAAACATCCCCTCCATATGTGCTTGCTGTACATCTCTTTCCAAAACCACAAGCATAAACATGGAGTTGGTCACCCCTTTGCTGCAGTAACAGCTATTCACTCTTCTGGAAGTCTTTTCACTTAATTTTGTAACATGGCTGCAGAAATTCCCTTCCATTTAAACACCAGAGCATTAGTGTGGGTGGGCAATAATGTAGAATAAAAAGGCCTGGCTCACAGTTGCTATTCCAATTCACTCCAAAGGTGTTGGATGTGGTTGAGGTCAGGACTCTGTGCAAGACCAGTAATATTCTTCACATTAAACTCAGCAAACCGTTTCTTTATCCATCTGGCTTTGTGTACTTTGTGATCTGTTACGGTGAAACAAAAAAGTACCTTACTCAAAAGGTTACCACAAAGTCCTCCAGAATGTTGCTGCATGCTGTAGCATTAGGATTTCCCTTTCCTAGGACTAAAGGATTCAGCTCAAACCAGGAAAATTAGCCCTAGACTATTATTCCTCCTCCACTAAGCTTTAATGTTGGCACTATGCATTTGAGCAGGTAGCGTTCATTTGGCATCCACAAAACCCAGATTTGTCCATCAGACTGCCAGGTGGTGAAGCATGACTCATCAATCCAAGGCAGACATTTTCTCGCTCAAGAGTTCAACAGCAGTGTGCTTTACACCATTGCTGCCAACACATGGCAGTGGGCATGGGCATCTTGTGTGCAGCTGCTCGACTATGTAAACTCAATGATAAACAGCTGTGCCATTTACAACTTGACATATAACTTGTCTATAAGCTTGTGTGCTTCACGGCTGAACTGCTGTTGCTCCTAGACATTTCCACTGCATGATAATAGCACTTGCAGTTGACTGGGGCAGCTCTAGCAGCAGAGAAACTTGACAAACTGACTTGATAGAAAGATGTCAATCTATGACTGTGGAATTCACTGAGCTCTTCAGGATAACCCACTGTACTGCCAGCATTTATCTATGGAGACTGCATGGCTGTATGCTTGAATTTATGTGCCATTTAACAATGGGTGTGGCCTAAACTGCCACAATAATTAGAAGGGGTGTATGTGCACTTAAAATGTAAAGCTTCACTCTCATAACTAAATAACTTATATAATAGATCTATGGTCTTAATAACTGAATAATAAACCTGTAGATTAACACTTTAACCTGAACTTTAAAAGCACCATCAGACTTTACATATGTTGGAAGCGTCACAGTGTCACCATGCATCAAACATAACGGCTGTGGACAACAACAGCAACAGCGCCAGGTCTCTTCTGGTTCACCCTCCAGCTCCATTACCATCTTAAAACACACAATTTTATATAAACACATTAAAGATGACATGCAGATGACTCAATGTCCTAAATCACTCAGATGTTTTACGCTTGTTTGTTTGTTTGTTTTTTTACATCTAGAGTCATCTGTCTAAGAGCTAGCCTCATAAGACTTACAAAATGGAGAACAAAACCCACTTAAGCAAAGGATTAGGGGGCTATCTACAATGACAAGGGTTTGTTTCTAGACTATCGTAACTCAGTGTCAACGCTAAGCAATGCTAAGTGCTGCTCGGTGAAGAACCTTGTTTTTCAAGACGTAGCCCATTTTCAGGGCAGACAGTAATATATAACTCACACTCTACACATGTGGTAAACAAGGGAAAAAAGAGCTACTCATTTTGGGATACATGACACAAGTACAAATCCCCAGAAGAATGCGTGGTTCCAAATAATGGAAGCAATAGCTAGGCCCTGCCACTGAAAGGATTACAGCCGGCAGGAGTTTCAACATCAAAATGAAAGAATAATTTTTACTATAAAAAACTAATGCAGTGAATTTACTTGATTGAAATGTATACATAATTTCCACAGAAAGAAAGCACACTTTCAAATTTCAAGCTTCAGGCCAGAAAAGAGGATATTTTCATCTGCTTGACCAAAATAACAGGCCAACACACTTCAAAAAAAAAGGTTTTTCAAGGTTTCTTAGTAATGAACTATACAGAACCATGAACACTCAAAGAACCCTTTGCATGATTAAAATGCTCTTTGCATCGTGAAATTATTCTTCAGATTGATGGAGATTGTGTTCTATATGGTTCTATATAGAACCTCTTTGAAAAGGGTTCTTCTATTGTTACAGGCTTGACATCGTAACAGTAGAAGAAACCCTTTTTGGTGCTATATACCATTTTCAAAAAGATTCTATATAGAACCATCTACATCACATTATCCATCAATCTGAAGAATTCCCAATTCCTGTTTTGACTGGAAATTTAATGAATGAAGGGTAATCTCTGACATTTGCACAGTGCTGTATGATTAAATATATATTTGTATGGAAAGTATGTACAAATTTGTATCAGATAAATTGAATGCAGACTGTCTCCAGGTAAATCCTCACTGTATATTCAATGTATTACTTTTTTCAGTGTCTTTAATTTTTTTTTTTTGCTTGCAGGCATTTAATTTGCTATTTTAATACCTGACAACTTGCATGAACAGCACCCATAAAACTTTACTTTAAAAGATGTTTCAAATGTAAAATACTTCAGTGTTTCTTGTCTCACAGTGTCCAGGTCAACTCAACCTGTAAGTCTGAAATCATACAGTCCTGTATAACAACTTGCATACTGTTGCCAATGTTTGTGTCTGGTTTGTACTAGGCTGTACGCCACGAAGGAAATCATTGCATCTCTTCTCATTCTTAAACACTCTCTGACAGCGCAGGAGATCCCCTCCAATAAATTATTATAAACAGCCATAAACTAGCTACAGAAAGGGAATACTTACAGTGTGTGCGTGTGTGTTGATACAGCTTTGTTGTATAACACAACATTTACACAGAGGTGAGTAGAATAGCCTGAACACAAACTCAAGTACAAGTGTTGTTACTTCTGTGAAACAAAGACTCAAGTAAAAACCTTTCCAAAAACAATTTGAGCATATCTGAAAACTCCTAAGTACTAAGTACTGAGTAACTTATAGAACCACAGTGGAACTTCTTAGTACATCCAGCTTCGATTAGCACTTAGTTTGTTAAGCACTATTCTTCTCTTTTTGATGTGTATGAAGTTTAAAATAAAGTAATACAATCTGTTAGGTCAGAGGTGTGACCGATCACAGAGCAGTATAGATACTGTCACCCATGTAACATAATGATTTTAAACCAAAAAAAAGGAATTATTAACTCAATGTTCAGGGGATATTCTCATGAATATGAGACATGCTGGGACCCAAAAATTTATATTTTAATATTTTTTTTAAACTAAAACATCATGTTATAGTTTTTGTGTTTAAAAACAATGATGCCTGGTTGAATAAATAAAAAATAAACCAGAATGATTTAATTGATTTGAAATGTATTTTTAAGTAAAATTTTCCATTTAAATAGCATTTTAAGTGAACAAATTCTCGCTATTATTATATTATATTATATTATATATGTAATATATATTACATTATTATACAAAAATATAGTATTTTGCAAGCTTATCTCATTACTGTAACATACTGACAAACATAGTTTTTTTAACTCTGGTTCATATTCTTTAAATTTAAGAGGTTCTACAGTTAAAATTAATACAAACACTTTTTTTTAATTTAGAAAAGCAAAAATATATATATATCGGTAAAGAAAAGCTGATAATTAACAGTAATGAGATGTGGACACACTGTAAGACTGAAAATCAGGGCCAAAAAATGCCAAAAGAAATTTGAACGTTTGCTGTACCATACAGAGCACCAAACAATCTACTTTGTGGAAATAATGTGAGGTTTCGTGAGAATGACCCTAATGACTGAAATGTACATGAATAAAGGTTTGATTACTTTCCTCACAAAAAATGCTTTACTAGTAAAAAGTATTATCATTCAAAAATACAAAGGAAACTACAAATCCATAAAAATGTGCCTTAAGTATTTGAGTAGACAGTCACTGGCCACTTCTGCGTTTAGATCCACTGCCCTGCACCACTGGGTCATGTACTGTAACAGTAAACACTGAACACTTACATGTGCAGCTCTCTGTAGACTGCGTTCTGCAACTTTCTCTCCCAACCTAACAAAAACAGAGAACATTTCTAAAGTAATTCTGAAGAAAGACGAACCACAGAGAAAAAACACTGCAGCCCTCGTTTTATCACCATCTCACAGCACCTGCACAATAAACACAATAAACCCAGAGAGTCCTGCGTACCTGAAGACCTGAGGAAATTCCGCACATCTTCTTTTAGGGACTCTAGTTTGATCTCCGGTCTGTGTAAACATTCCTAGAGAGAAATAAAACCGGCTTCTTTCAGTTCACAACTGTACAAGGTGACTTCTGTCACAGAGCTGTGAGAAGAAGCGGAGGAAGCGGAGCAAAGGCAGTCTAGCGCGATGCTGAGGCTGCGCTAACCTTAGCTAGCTCGGCTAGTCTACTCACTCTGGCTTGTTTCTCCAGCTGTGAGTGTAAATGAGCTCCTTTCAGCCGCTGGACAATCTGGGCGATTGTGACAGAAAGCTCTGTTCCCTCGTCCATCATTATAAATGGTTAGTGTGGTCAAACAGGCTCCTACGAGTTATTTCTTAGTATCATTTGGCAGCTTAGCATCTAGTGATGAAGCACCGTATCTTAGCAACTACGGAGCGCACGCTGACGGAAACAAGGACACTGAACACATGGTTCCTACCAGCTTTATCCACAAAGTCTGATACTCACTGGATTTAGCTTCTCTGTTGCTGCCACTAAAAATCAGCAATAACTAAAGTGATGCACAACTAGATGTATTTTTAAATGATTTACAGGCCAGGCTTTGTTCAGATAGTCCCTTAAAGATGCTTCAGTTGTCTGGTGAAAATGTTGATTATCAACAATAATAATAATAATGTGGGGTGTTTAAGAAATGTTTTAACATGTTAATTTTAGGTTGGTGTTCTTTAGTATTTATTTAATGAGTTGATTTTACTGAAGGTCATAGATGAGCTGTTAGAGAAGAGAGAACTCTGCATATGTGTGGCATAGTTGTGGCCTATAACTGTTGGAGATTATATTGGGGGGGCGGGAAAAAATCAATTCTTAGATGCATCGCGATGCGGACGTGGACGATTCTGAATCGATTCATTCAACGTCAAAAATCGATTTTCTAAATATTAAATTTAAAACGTGATGTTGACGGAACGCAAAGGGCGGAACTTGGAAGTGGGTAAGTGCAACGCCCAGACAGTCTGTGGCGGCACATAACAAAAATACTACTGGATGAGCGAGAAATCCGACCAGCTCCCTCTGCATTAAAGCCAGGTTAGGTCAGGAGTCACAACACAAAAGTTAAGAAGAGCCATTTTGACCTTTCAACAAAAATCAAACCACCTTGGGAGCCACAACATTTAATGTCCAGTATGTCTCAGTATGTGTTGATGTCCTAGTATAGACTAACCAATGTAAACGAAAATGCGGACTTACTCTACTCTGCTTTAAGATTTAGCTCTAGCCGCTTTTCTTCCATCTCCGCCAGAAACCTTTCCTCAAAAGTTGAATAGTTTCTTGTAAAATGTCTTTCAGCTTTCGGATGTTTTACGAGGCCGAATTCGCTTCTCATTCTCCAGCTTCTTGCTGAACTTGCCCGTTCCAAAATTAGAAAGAGAAGCAACTTCATCTTCGCAACTTTTTAGTGTTTGACAGTCTCTCGTTGCAGATTTAACGTACCAGGAAACCAACTGCAGTGCTTATAAATGCGAAGAAGTCCATTCATCTCCAAATGTTCGTCTGTCTTTCTCTTTTCCTTTTTTATTAATAAAAGATGTTGGACATAAATGCATTATGGATCATTACAAATACTTTGCTTTAAAAGTACCAGGTCCTCACACAGTGAGAAAATAGAAATCATGTATAGAAAAAAAAGATTCATCGATATATATATACATATATATATATATATATATATATATAATATATATATATATATATATATATTATGACTACATCACCTATAGTGTTTCAAATGTGTGGGCGCTCCGGGTTAATTGATATGTTTTGTTGATTTTCTAAGTAAAGATAAGCTACACATCTTCCACAGAGATCACACTTCTGCACATTTTTTTGCACAATTACTACCTGCTGACCATGACATATTGTCAAAAAATAAACCATAAAACATAAATTTTGTTTCGTAATAAGTTAAATTCTGCAAACAAAAAAATAATAAATTAAAAACTATTCATTAAAATGTGCAAAAGTCTATTCTCTTTCTTCTCTTTTCAAAAATAGATATTGTGCACTAAAATTTACACATAAATTCAGTATTTAAGTCTGCTCTCTGTAGAAGATGTGCTAACTTATTTTCATTTAGAAAATCAACAAAATGCATACTTTAACTGGGGGTGTCAAAATATTTGCTTACAACCATATAGAGATATGTCCGCTCTTCAAACAACACATGTTTTTCACTCATTACTCATTATACAAAAAAAATAGATAAAATATACACAATATAATACTTTATGATGTTGGTACAGGCTGTATCTCACTGTTTAGGATGTTGTTGGGCCTGCATAGAAGATTAATAATCTGCCGAGCCACTTTACTTTAAAAGTAAAATTTATACCATGATTTTATAACCTCAAAACGATGTAATATAGTTAGTGCTTATGCCAAAGTGACTTGTTCAATTACACTTATAGAGTGAATTCTGCTTTACTTCAGCCTTCATTCATCAGTCAATTCCTACCTAAATTAATTTAGTTCATTTCATTTTTATTGTTGTTACACATATGTATGCCAGGACAGTATAACAAAACACGTTCTGGCTACTTCTCTGGTACATAAAGACATGAGTGCACATGTACCAGTCGGATAACAGACAGTATATATACGCATAATAAGTTCAAAAAACACTAAATAGACACAGAAGTGTGCTGGTGCATAGACAGTGTGCGTATGCGCAAAACGTGCTAAATATATGTGGTGTTCTCAGAGGTAGGTCCGGTGTGTAAATTATACTTAAGTGTTCAGTAAACAATGTTATGAATGTTTGTTCAAGTGTTGAGTCCATGTATATAAGAAGTCAATCAACAGTAACATGGATATATGTGCATGTATGTCGAGTAGTGTTTGTATTCGTGATCTGGTGGGTGCTATGGGTGTGACCGGGTTAACAGCTCGAGGGTAGAAACTTGTTCTTGAACCCAGTGTTTCAGCTCAAATGTTCTGATATCTCCTCCCAGATGGCAGCGGGTGGAACAGGAACTGGCTGGGGTGTGTGTGGGGTCTGAGCTGATACTTCTGGCTTTACTCAAACACCTCTAATTGTAAAAGTCCTGTATGGGTGGGAGCACAGCTGCAGTGATGGACTGGGCAGTGTTCACCGCCCTTTGCAGGGCCTTCCGTTCTACATCAGTGGAGCTGCCATACCAGACTGTGATGCAGCTGGTCAGGTTGCTCTTCACTGTGGACCTGTAGAAGTTGCAGAGGAGCTGATGCGGCAGGTTGACTCTCCTCAGCCTCCAGATGAAGATGTCGTTGGGCCTTTTTGATGAATTGTGGCACGTTGAGTGACCAAGTGAGATCCTTGGCTATATGATCTCTGAGAAATTTAGAGCAGCTCACTCTTTTCACCATGGTCCCCTCAATACTCAGGGGTGTGTGCACTCTGCTCCCCTTCCTGAAATCATCTCTTTGGATTTGCTAACACTGAGGTAGAGATTGTTGTCTGTGCAGCACTCTGTGAGGAGTTCTGCCTCCTCTCTGTTCGCTTCTTTATTGTTGTTAGTGATGATGCCCACTAGTGTTGTACTGACAGTGATTGTGATGATAGTGCTGGTGATGTTTTTATGCTTGGCAATGCAGTCATGGGTGTATGGGATGTAGAGCACGGGTGATAAGACACAGTCTTGTGGACAGCCTGTGCCGAGAGTGAGGGTGGGAGAAGTGTGGTCGCCCACCCTAATAGACCGAGGCCTGCTGTTGAGGAAATCCAGAATCCAGCTGCAGACTGTGTGACTGATTCCTAGGGTCTTGAGCTTGGTGACTAGTCAGAGTAGTTGTGACTTATGAAGATATTTGAATATGAAATACTGTGTATTTGTCCAAAGTGGGGGATCCACAATAAGACTAACAATTCAAAACATGTTATACGTCAAAAATTTATTGACTCCAGTTAAAACAACTCTGACAGAAATCTTTTCTTTGGACTAACACATATGCTGATTTCAAGTAATCATGTTATTTTTGTTATTATTTATATGATGCTTTTTGTGTACTGTAGAACTGCCATGAGTGATTTCTTAAATCATTGGCACTGTCTCTTAGAACATGAGTAGAGAAAACTGCAAGTGTTTTTGTTCTGATATAATCAGCCTGAGTTTTTTTGACTTAAATGATTTCAATGTGTGTGGTTTAAGTGAACCTAATACAAGCAAGAGTAATGACAAGTTCTTGTACATAGTTTTGCCATACAGTTTTTATCAAAAAAGCCTTTAATGAGTACATTTAACATAAAACTATTTAGGGTCTTTAAAAAATGAGACACAGTAAAGAATATTATTGCTGCTACATATTTGTTTTGGTTTCTTTCTATTGACAGATTACTTGCATTTAAAAAGCAGTATCAGTACTGTATGATATTTAAAACAAAAAAAGTTTTCATGTATAAACTTTTGGAATAAGCAAATGATCAGATTTGCATTCACGATGCTGTCTGTGTCATTACTATTACAGAATCCCCACTGCGTTTATAATACAAGCCATTTGATTCAAATACATAGCACGCGCAGAAACACATGCACACGCAGTTTCATTTCTTCTCATTAGGAGGGAGCAGATGCTCTCTGTCTCTTTATCTTCAAGAACGCTCTTGGCAATCATAAAAACAGGAACTCTAGTTTCTTCACTGTCCATCAACTGTTTCAGTATATCAATGTTATTTCCACTGCTGTAACAGAGTTACTTTGGCACTGAAAGCTTGAAGAGCAGAGATGGTCAGTTTTTATGACTGAGTGATTTAGTTCAAGTATTGTAGAATAGCTTGCTAAAATTATAAGTACCTCTTAATGCATGGAGGAAATGGCATATGGTTTTTGTTCTGGTAGACACCTAAGTGTAATACTGTTTGTATGAGGTTAAGGATCAAGATGACTCAGTTGTGTTCGACATCTAAATTTAGTATGACAAGAAAAATGTCATAGTTGTTTGGATTGTATGGATTGGTCTAAAATCATGAGCTGATTGAAGTTATATAGTTACAGATGTTGGATGAACATCCACCAGAGTTCATAAAGTTCAGTGCTAAACAAGTGCTATACAAATAAATTTGAATAAGAAAAAAGAATTTTTAATGGAAACATGAACACAGCATTATAACAGCAGCGTAGCCTCAAATTAGTATAGTGTAGCCTTTAAATAGTAGCATAGCCTTATCACAGTAGTGTGGCCTTGATTGAATCTAACATCTGAAACTTTTATTTTAGGGCTAGACTAGTATCAAGAGGCTATACTACTATTATAAGATTATAACACTTTTATAAGGCTACACTAATATTTTAAGGCTACACTACTACTGTAAGGCTATAATAATAGTATAACAGTAGCATGGCTTATGTATTATAATATAATATAATATAATATAATTTATACTATATATATATATATTAGAAGACATAATGGTATTTATGTCAATATTATCCCAGGATGCCTTGTCTGTTGGCCAAAGTGTTTCAACATGTTTTTGCAAAAGAATGCCATTAATCATAATTAAGGCAAAACGTGCTCTTTATATGAAGGAAAAACACTTTGATGAACATTAAGCTGAGTGCTGGAAATACATACCCAAAGCAAAGGTCTGAACATCCCTAGTCAGATTCCACGTTTTGTCAGTTTGCTACAGGAAAATCCCATACAGGGAATACAGGGAACACACTTCCCATACAGGGAACACACTTAAACAGGGCATTTTTTCTGCAGCATTTCTATTAACATATTGAAAAATGATTTTATTTTTTTATTTTATTTATTTATTTTTTTGCCTAATATGTTAAATTCAGCAAATAAACAGTTGTGCATCAAAATGTAACAATAACATATCATCATAATTGCCCACCTCTAGTTGCTACGCTGATAGATACTGGATGCTGTGGGTTTATAAGTTACTCAGTACTTTAGTAGTTTTTACCTGCTACTTTGTAAAGATATTTATCCCTTTCCTCTGAGCCATTAGGTCCTCAGTAGTGTCCACAAGTGTACATGAACCTGTGTGTGAGAGTGTGTGTGGAGTAAAGGCGGAGCCTGCAGTTCCGCTCATGAGCTTCAACCCTTCTCTATGTGCACGAGCTCCTCACTGCTCCAGCACTACAGCACACAGACAGGCGCTCAGTGAGCCCGAACCTTTCTCCTGTGGAAATCTCCATCCTCTAACTGCACGTCACTGGCTCCTGAACGCTCGGACAGTCTCACCATGCCATGGCCAGGCGCGCACTGATGAAACCACGGCGCGCCACCAGCCGTCCGCAGTGTCTGTTCTTCTCTCGATGAAGAAGGGAGGTATTTCTGTAGCACTTCTCGATTTGGGGGACGAAGGAGAGCACGAGACAACATGGAGACCTTCACCATCCACGACATGCTGCTCAACAGCACGGACATTTACAGACTGCTGTGCGGAATCGCCTTCGGGAACTTCTCAGACTGTGAGAGCCCCAGCCCCACAGGCCACCCCGGCTTGACCCGAGAGCCTAAAGGTAACCAGCAGCTCTTCACTCTTTAAAGCCACTTTAGCATCAACCAGATCGATTCCGATTTCAGTCCAGTGGAGCGAGTTCTGCGCCTCTGCGCACCAGCTGCGCCAGCGTTACGCAGCGCGCTCACTGTGGCGCACTGAGGAGTCTCGGTGAAGGAAGACGGTGGATTGCAGACTTCAGGATATAGTTTCAATAGGAAATCACGCAAGATACGGTTGACGCAAAAACCCTCACCGAAAAGTCACATATTTCACATGTGAAGTGTACAAAAACCACGTGTTAACAAGTAATCGCACTTTTTTCACGTGTGATCACATTTTTTTCACTTGATAACACATTTTTTTTGGTGTTTTCTTCACATGTGAAATTCATGTGTACTTTTGTTGTAAGGGAAGGTTTGCGCTGGTTTGAGTCCAAGATGCACTAAAATAAAATGATGCTTTGAAGTGACATGATTAAAACGCGTCAGTTTTCATCGCGTTCATCACAGAATTATTGTCAACAGAATTCAGCTGAAAGACATCTGTGTTCATGAGCATCATATGAGGACGGCTGAAGTTGTGTGACAAGTGTGATTCTCACATTCCACCACATTAGTGTGTATACACACACACACACACACACACACACACACACACACACACACACACATATATACACACACATATATATATATATATATGTTTAGTGTGTGTGTATGTGTGTATGTATTGTCCTAAATGTATTCAGTGACATATTCCATTTCCATAGATGAAAAGTAACATATTCAGAATAAATGTTGAATATATCTTGAGGCACATGAGAAAAACTCTGCTGTTGAAATTTTTACTTTACATTATTCCTGACTATTACTGCTGGGCAGCTTTCTTTTTTTAATTCCTTTGTTAATATATTAAGTGTATAATACACACAAAGTTCTTACATTATCAGCTTTAAATGTTGTAGATCCTGGAACACAGTTGGGCACTGTTTCTCACTTATGCCTCCTTTTTCAGCTTTTGTCAAATACGTGTTGCTCTTATTATTATAAATAATTATGTTTCTCTTTATTATAAATATAAATCTCTAAATTCACTCATGTCCCAATAACACAATTTTAAAGTGGTTAGTGGCGTGATTTTCAGTTAGTGACATCTTGAAACATGTTCATGAGTCCAGTACTAAGTGAAGCAAAGCTTATCACTCGTGAACATGTTCTCCGCTGAGAAGACTGTTCAGTTCTGTCCATAGCACTTTGTGTGACGGGTTTGTAACTTTCGTAACGGGTTTGTCAGTCTACTCAATCTTTGGTAATTGTATTCCATTACTTTTCAACCCTGTATATACGATGCTGTGCAAAAGTTTTAGACAACTGTGAAAATTATTTTAAAAAGCTATTTATCTTCACAGTAAGTGTTTATTTGGTCAGAAAAACACTAATGGCAGAACAAATACAAACAACATTATTACAAAAAGTACTTATTTTATGTATGTCTCTGTTTCTGTTTAACCATTTCCAAACCTCTTCTTATGGCAGTGCTTTATTATTTCTAGTTGTCATCCAATACACTTTCTGACAGCAAAACATTCTTGTTACTTTTACCACGTTCACATTAAATTTATTGTAATGTTATATGGTGTTCTTATACGCAAAAGTCAGTTACCATCCAGAAATACTTAGGTGCTTATACTTTTGCACAGTACTATATATGTATGTTAATGTAAACAGGTTTCATTCCAAGCATGTAGAAAAATAAAAATTGAATGAACATATACTGGTTAATAATTGAAAGAATATAACTCTGTATATTTGTTCCATCCAACGGCTGCATTCACAGATATAAACCAGACAGTCCGCATCATCCTCTACAGCCTCATCTTCCTCTTGGGTGTCCTGGGCAACAGTCTTATTATCACAGTGCTAGTACGGAACCGTCGCATGCGTACAGTCACCAACCTCTTCCTGCTGTCTCTGGCAGTCAGTGACCTGATGCTGTGTGTCTTCTGCATGCCCTTCACCCTAATCCCCAACCTGATGGAGAACTTTGTCTTTGGCAGTGGCATCTGTAAAACAGCCACATACTTCATGGGTGAGTAGTTGTGTTTATACACATATATATATATATATATATATATATATATATATATATATATAGATAGATAGATAGATATTGTGTATAATTGTGCCCCTTAGCAAATTGTTATTCTTCCGGACAATAAATGTGTTTTTGTTAAATTCTATTAACAGCACACCTGATTTAATTTAATGAAGGATTGATGAGCCAAAGTGGATATTGGATAATACTTCTAAATTATAAATAATAATAAATAAAAACAATAAATAATCTGAAATAAAATGTATGTTTAAACTTATGAGTATTTTAATCCAATGATTTTATTCAAGGGCATTCTGGAACATTTCTGTTCACCCATTCATCATGAAATAGTGTAAAAATGTATAACACTTTAAAAATGACATAATTAAACTTTGAAGGTGCAGACAGAAGGTCATTACTTTTCTTTCACAAAAGCTTTTCAGAAAAACAGAAAAAAAGGAATTTAACAGCGAAGATAAGAATGTGCCCATTTAAGGCTCTTTTGTATTCTGCTCTGCTCCTGATGTAATTCCACTTGCAGAAATGAACAGCTTTTTTTTATTAATACAGTCTTTTGAACTTGCATAGTTGTAGGACTGAAGGTCTGATATAGGTAAGAACAGAGGGCTGTTGCTTTAGACTGTCCAAATAAAGTGGGATCAGTGTTCTCCTATTAAAGTAATGCTGGCTTGTTAGCAGTTAGCAGGCTAACTGAGAGCTGATCCTGTGCTTGAGCTTGTGTGCCCAAGTGTCATTAAAGAGACTGAAAAGAAGGCAGTGGTGTTTGTTTTAAAGGACACAGGGAAGCCTAAACATTCTGTTCTCTCATTTTATTACTGATCGGCACTTTGGCTGCCTGCATCAGACTGTTACAAAGGAGCTAATGTTTGGAAATTGCAACCTTTATTGTCTTCTAAATTAGTTTGAAGGTATAAGGCAGGATATGATGTCTGATACAGAGAAATATATTAATCTGTTATAGCTTATAGTGAATAAGGAAGGCATCATACGACTTTTTATGATACTGATACTTATACTGAAGTTTCTTGTATCAGCTGGTACAGATACTGATCCAGTATTTTTTTATCTACCGAGTTTTCAGTCAAGATGGTCATCTAAAAGTATCATACTGAAACTACTTAAACAAACACTCTGTTGCTTTACAAGAAGAAATATATAGCCAACAACATGAGCTGTACAAAACTTCAGCTTCTTTTACCCAGTTAAAATCTTTTACAACAAAAAATAATTCAAATGTGTATTTTTTATTCTAAATATGCATAATTATAATGCATATTTAGAATAAAATAAAAAAAAATTTATTATAATGCTTAGCTCAAAACATGTTTTTATGAGAGACGACACCAGTCACATACCAGGTATCAGTATCGGGCCGATATCAGTAGAAAATGCTGGATTAGATATCAGAAGGGAAAAAACAGTCCTGTGACAAATCTAGCCTGAAATATCACATTCTCACATTGTCTGATGTGATGTTAGCTGTGTGGTAGTAATGTTTTAGTATACTTAGCATGATAGTCTAACTTTAGATTATTGTATTGCCCCTTTCTGCTGACCCTTTAGTGCCATTCCACTGGTGGAGCAGAAACTGACTCAAATAATTATATTTCATATTATCTAATGCACTATTTTTTCTCTGTTACTGTGTTTTCAGAAGAATTAGAACTCTGTACAACTGTATTTAAAGACGTATCAGCTGATACTGAAACTGATACTTTGCTAATCAGTATCAGGTCTATGCCATCTGTTATAGTGAGAAATATCTACTCTCATTTTTTCCTAGTTATGCTATAAATCCAGTGTTGCTGGATCATAAGACAGCGTCACTGTCATATGTCCTCATATTCAAATCTGTCTGCATGTTGTACATGTTTACATTACTCCATTCTGTGTCGCTAGCTCATGGCTGGATTTATGAGCTCCGCTGTTATTACTGTGTGGGTCTGTTAGCACTAATAGGTCTACTGGTTATCATTCATAAGAACAGATCTTAGATCAGCTTCCTGACTAGTCATAAAGTAAGATGTGTCAAACCAATTAAGTGCAAGCAGCTATTAACGTAACTAATGGAGTGTACTTATAACATCAGATCATACATTCATTGTACAACCTTGAAAACAGAGGTTCATAAATAGTTATGGGCTTGAATGTGTGGTTCAAGGCAAATAGCCTGATGTAATTGCTGTAGAACCCACTTACATTTTATGGATGTTCTTTAGTTTAAAAGGTTTTTCACATTCACATCTCATTTACAACAAAGGTTTTTAAAGGAACCCTCTACTGAAGGGTTCTCAAAGGAAGCAAAGAGTGTGAATCTTTACAGTACTGTTGTAAAATCAGAGACCAGCCTTCGTTTGGTTAATTTCCAGTAGAAACAGCCAGTAAATACAACTTACTCATGTTTCCTGGAGATATTTCTAAAAAGGTTAGTTTTAAGATGATCCATTTTCATGAGGGAAATGTCAAAGGAAAATAATAAAAAAAGAGTTTCCAAAATTAACAGAAATATCAAAACTCTATGAAACTTTTCATTAGTTCACACACAGTGGGTGGGACTCCTAACAACTGTGCAAGACCTGGTGGACCACTAAAACTATCTCTATCAGGTAAACAGTACTTAAAGTTTTTTTGAAAGATTTGCTCTAAAACAATAGACTGACCACCCTAGAGTCCAGACCTCAACATCACTGAATGTGTTTGGGATTACTTGGATTGCAGGAAATAGAAAATACAACCACCTTCTAAGACTCTAACTCTGAAAATCTGAAAGCCAAAAGGAATGGAAGCTGTAATAAAGGCAGAGCGTGGACACATTAAATACTGACAATGTCATATTATATGTGTATTTCATATTGTATGTGTATTTTTCCCTGATGCCAGAAATGAATGACTGTTTTGACTGGAGCTTAAATAAATGAAGGGTGGTCTCTGACTTTTGCACAGTACAGTATCTGGTTCATCACTGTTCAGTATTTTGCAGCATCAACATGTTGAACGTTGCCTTGAGTACAAGCTTTACTTAATACTTCACTTCATATAATAACCAACTAAGTATCGCGACACTGTCTTTGTTTCAGTCTCAGTGGTTCACTAAGTGCGTGACCAGTGTTTACATTTCATATCATTTTTCATGTCTGTGTTGATATTCATTTCTTTTAGCGGGCTGATAACTCTGTTACAACACTAATAACGATAATAATATGCCTTAGTATTGCAGTACAAAGCTCAAGATAAAGCAGAATGAACTCACCAGCTCTGTTTGTTTGTTTTAAACACACACACATACACACAGGTATATCAGTAAGCGTATCTACCTTCAACCTGGTGGCCATCTCTCTGGAGCGTTACAGCGCTATCTGCAATCCGTTAACGTCCCGTACGTGGCAGACCAAGTCCCACGCTGCCAAGGTCATCACCGCCACCTGGCTCTTCTCCTTCCTCCTCATGCTGCCCTACCCCATCTCCAGCAACCTGGTACCTTACCGCCGCAACAACAACACCACCGGCAACATGTGCCGTCCAGACTGGCCCAGTGACATCATACAGCAGTCATGGTAAGAAGAAGCATGGTAAGAAGTTAAGCACCAACGAAGCATCTACAGTGGATCATCAGCCACAATAACTAGCTGACACTTCAAGATATGGATCAGCATCTAGAAGTATCTGGTGCTGATGCTTCAGAATTAACATTACTATCTGTAGTGTTGGGAAGTGTTGATCTTTCTAGCTATGCAACATCTCTTTTCTTGGCCAGGTATGTGTTCCTTTTATTGATTCTCTTTTTGGTGCCGGGAATTGTGATGATGACAGCTTACGGTCTCATCTCTGTCGAGCTCTACAGAGGAATCAAGTTTGAAATGGCTAACAGGAGGTCAAACCGAGGTACATGTTCTCTATATTATCCTAATTTAATTTTTAATCTGATTTTTAATTTAATGTTTATTTCTTCTCTTTTAAAATCCATTGTTTTAATCATGATTTTAATTTCCATTCTCCTTTACCTTTGTTACTTTTTTATTTTAATTTGAATTTTCTTTGTATTTTCTCATTTGTAAAGCACTTTGAATGAACACAGGTATGAAAGGTGCTCTATGAATAAATTTGCTTTGCCTTGCCTATTTAGCTTTAAGCTACCTTTTAGCTTTTTATGTCATTCCACTATATACAGTTCTGTGCAAAAGCCTGGTCTAAAACCATGTATCTGGGCAGTAAGTGTGTTTGTGCCTGTAAAAGCATCAGATTTCATTAGAATAAATAAAAAGTAACAAGAATATAAAATAAGTAAGAATATAGTAAATAGTAACAAGAATTTCTTGTTTAAAAAAAACTGTTGATATATTGTAAGCTAGTTTAAAGAACAGTTTAAAGAAAAGGTTGGTTATTGATTTCTCTTATTTGCCCCAGCTACTGTATTTGTTACATTTCAACAGCAGGACTCTTCCTCAAATACACTTAAGTATTGATTAGCCAAAACAAGTATTAGATGATTACTACAATTAATACTAGAGTTTCACAAGGAGAGGTTTGGAAATGGTTAAATAAATAATTGATGGACATAAAATCAGTACTATATACTAATACTATATGTACTATATATACTATCTACTATTTATTGTAATATTAGAAATCATTAGTGTCCAGAAAAACAAGTATCTCCAAAATGGAAACTTTACAGGAGAAGGCAAAAACATTCTGTATTTTCAATGTTTTAATGTAAGGTAATGTAAAGAGATTTTATTCCAAGCAATTTTGGAGCATTTCTACTGGTCCATTCATCGTGAAATTCTTACGCAATGTTAAGAGAAGGTGCTGTGCCCAAAAATGGAGTTACTTAGTACTGTTGCTGATATTACAAATACTGTACCTGTAAAAAACACAGTTTGTACACACTCTGCCTCCAATTCACTGACAAGTACAGTGAGATAGTAAGACAATAAGGTTGGCCAGAAAATGGATATTATAAACTACACTATTACAAATCAAAGTTTCTAAATATTTTTAGCTTGGACTTCTAGAAAAAAAAAAACATTTGGTATAGAACTTTTACCTGGAAGTTCTTACATTTTAAAAAGGTTCTTCACATTCACACTTTTCATTTTCAAAAAAGGGTTCTGTAAAGAACTGTCCATTAAAACTGTCCACTCAGATGTGCAAGGTGTGAAATACAGTGGGCCCTAAATAACATCTTGGACCTCCTGAATGTCTCAAAATCAAAATATGGAACCCCCCCCAAATACCAGGGTTATTTCACACACTGCAGATGCTGCTTTTTACAGAGCCCTGCTGGTGACATCCTGCATAAATAAAAATAATGTGTGGCCACGACTTAGTAAGGTGTGGGAATGAGATGATTAAGTCGTGGCCATGACTTAGCAAAGCGTGGGAACGAGATCCTAATGCTTGGCAACGACCTAATCATCTCATTTCCATGCCTTACTAAGTAGTGGCCACGCATTAGGATCTCGTTCCACGTGTTAATAAGGCGTGGCCACACATTATTTTTATTTATACAGGATGTCATCATCAGGGCTCTGTAGCTTTTCTCCATCTGCCAATGCAGGAACTGTTCAAAGCTTGAATTTGCAAAGCTCCCTTAAAGTCATTGCTATTGTTTACTGTCGTTGTCCGCTGGCTAATATAAAGCAGTTCTCTGTATTGCTAACAATTTAGTTTTGGTTGCTAACTGATTACAGTCTAGCACCTGAGGCCAGTTAGCCTTGCATTACAGTTTATAGTTAGCTAAAAATAAATTCTATGAAAGCTAAAAAATACATTCTATGAAATCACACTACATATAGAAGTTATCGTTTTAAAAAACAAAACAAAAAATAACAGAAAGCTGTGCCAGGTCCATCAAAAATCAGCTCTTTTCTGTCACATTCTCTATAGTATCTTCTTTTTACCTGGATCTATGCCTGTGTGTGTGTTGTGACACAGAAAATTTCCAAAATCGTGTTATAGTGTGTTACAGTGCATTACCACATTCATGTTTACAATGTTCTTATGAACAGATATTATGATGTATGAGCCCTGCTGGTGACATAAGGCAAGGGAATGAGACAATTAAGCCTTGACCACAGCTTAATAAGGCATGATCTTGTTCCCACGCTTTACTAAGTCATGGCCACGCAGTAGGATCTCGTCCCCATGACTTACTAAGTCTCTAAGTGGCCATGACTTAATTATCTCATTCCCATGCCTTACTAAGTCTTGGCCACACATTATTTTTTTTTATACGGGATGTCACCAGCAGGGCTTATTAACTAGGTATTAATGCATGGAAATGAGATCCTAATGCGTGGCCATGACTTGGTAAGGCATGACAGCGAGATAATTAAGTTGTGGCCATGCATTAGGATCTCGTTCCTAAAGCGGTTCGCTGGCATTCCTTCAAAGAACCCTTGATTTTTAAAAGACTAATCAAGCAAGTAATCTTAAAACAGTCTTTCTAAACTATAGTGATTATTATTGTGTGGACATTTCCTATATGTTCTTTCTCTCAGATCGAGAGAGCAGCACTGGAAGCCTGAAGGCCACTGACGGTGATGGCTGCTACCTTCAGCCCTCCAAAAAGAAGCGCTCTGAAACCGTGGAACAGCACCAAGCCCTGACGGTCACTTCCAGCAACCCCAAAACCAAGCTGAGTCGCGTCTGCAGCAACAGCCCCACAGCCAATCTGATGGCCAAGAAGAGGGTCATCCGCATGCTGCTGGTCATTGTGGTTCTCTTCTTCCTTTGCTGGATGCCGGTCTTTGTGGTCAACGCCTGGCGGGCCTTCGACAAGCGCATGGCTGACCGGCTTTTGTCAGGGGCGCCCATTTCTTTCATCCACCTGCTGTCCTACACCTCAGCCTGCGTTAACCCCATCATCTACTGCTTCATGAACAAAAGCTTCCGCCAGGGCATGCTGGCCACCTTTACCTGCTGCACGTGTGAGCCAGACAGCGAGGGCAGGGGCAGCAGCCGCCTCAGCGGAGGAGGAGTGGGGCTCGGTGCTCTAGCGTGTGGAGGAGGCTTCAGGCAGGAAAGTGGAAACGCACACTCCAGTGGAACACTGACCAGACTAACGTACACCAGCGTACGTGGGTCTGCACAGGCATAGGCCAGTGGAAGAGACAGGACGAAGAACGTACTGACTGTCGGTTCCTGAATTGGTCAGCTTAGAGGAACCTCGTTCCCTGCAGCATGCAGTACAGTGCAAAAGTCTTAGGTCACCTAAATAAATACATTTATCTGGGCAGCAAGCACTTATTTGCTCGCAAAAACATAATAAATTAGAATAGAAATTAGAATAAATAGAAATAAACAGTATGTAGTGCATCTGTGTGCCAGCATGTTAGCTTAGCTGTATCAAAACGTCTCCTTGAGGCAACCCGGTATTTACATTCAGTACCTGTATGGGCTAAACAGTACAGCACTGTGTTCAAATCAGGAGTGCTGATGGTATAAACCCATGCAATAACTGGGAGTAGAGCTGCATAATATGGACAAAATATAATATTTTGATTAAATTAGCCATTTACTGTAATTGCAGTCTGCTTTGCAGTATATTTAAACATTGTTGGTCCAATGGTTAACCAGTTGGTGAGTAGTACTTTTGGCCAAAATGATTTCCTTTTTTGGGCCTTGATTTATCAAGACATCCACAGAAATTCATCTGTAATATCTAATATTAGTCATAATGCTCATAGCACTTAGATTTTTAAAGACTCAAACGCATATTAAACTGTACTGTGCAAAAGTCAGAGACCAAAGTTCAGTCTTAGAAGTTGGTTGCATTCACTGCTTTTCACGATCCAAGTAAACCAAACCCATTTAGTGATGTTGAGTTCTGGACTCTGGGATGGCCAGTCCATTATTCTGATGACACGAGAAGCTTTTTAGTTAGATTAGAATCGATTAGATTAAAATATTTTCTTTTTTTATGAAAAAATAAGTGAACAATTTTCTCCTTTCTCTGAAAGATGAAAGCTTTAAGTACTGTTTCTGATTGGGATCATTTTAGTCCACCAAGTCTTGCGGTTAGGAGTTCCATTTTATCTTTTAATGACTTTTTTAACTCCAGTTTTGGAAACTCCTGCTTTTTAACCTAAGTTTCCTTTGACATTTCACTTCCTAATGCAAATGGGTTATCTTATATCTAATCTCCTCAGTAATATCTCCAGAAAAATGAATAACGTCATGGAAATTAAATAAATGAAGGTTGGTCTCTGGCATTTGCACAGCACTGTAGATTTCTGTGGTATCAGCAGTAGCTGAGGTGAATCAAGCTAAAGAGGAACCAAACCTTTGTCCTCTGCATCTCACAAGATACAAATAATATTTTTGAAAACAATACATACTTGTTATGTACCTATTAATGCTTTATTTGTATTAACCCTAATGTTATATAGTGCTCTTCCGAGTAAAACACACTGGCTTCACAGATAAATACTTCTAAACAATTTTCTTGGCTCGTCTTAGACTTTTACACAGTACTATATATCCAAAGACTATGACGTTCAATCCAGGCAGCTCTACAGTGTTTGAAGACTTCCAGTAAGTTTGGACATTGAACATGGATGTGAATCTTCCTTCAAAACGGAGACCAGGCTGTTGACTGACGGCTGAATAGCTAAGCATGGTTGTACAGCTCGTGATAAGTGAGACAGGCGTAAGTGCGCATGCACCGGTTGGCAGGGACATTGAAAGATCGATGCTAGACAGAGTCCAGTGTTTAACTTTGGGTGCAAATCATGGTCCAATAAACACACGCATCAAATGGAGCATGATTGTGGATGGCTTGAGAGGGTCTCGAGTCTGCATTAGGGCACTGACTCATACGGGACGCTTACATAAGACAAAGGAGTTTATGGACTGTCTCTGGCCCCGTCTGCATCTTTCCAGTCGTGTGGCCCACCTCCAGTTCTCCGGCTAGAAACAAATGCTTATAGAATATACACTTTAACACATTTGTTCATACATTTTCAGTGGACTATAATGAATATATAGAATGCAAAGTGACAGCCAATCAACTTTTCCAAATGTAGCTGATTAGCAAAGATTACCTGAGACATGCTTCAGAGGTTTGCTTCTTTAGTTCAGCAGTTTTTCAGTATTTTTCATATGCAAAAGTTTTCGTGACCTGGTCAATTGACATGCTTTGTTGATTGAAAATAAGTTAAAACATCCTCTGCAGAGAGCACACTTCTGCACATCTTAATGCACAATTACTGTTTATTTGTGAATTTAACCTACTGGAAAAAATTAAAACATAAAACGTGGCCTGCGGAGAAGTTATGGCACATTTTGCATTGCATGTTTTTTTTTCCCCTTCAAGTACATTTAACTCTCTCTGTAGAGGATGCATGGTTTGATGTGAAATGCTCTTTTCTAAAGAAACATAGAGAGTCTGAATTGTTCAGAGTGGTGATGACAGGACGTCCGGACATCCACAGCATGTAATTGCCTCTAAAAGCTACACCACAAGAAACTGCTGCATAAAATGGTTATAAATACGTTGCCTAATACCTGAGACAGTGTTTTATGATGGGCTGTAAGACATTAAAGTACTCAAAGAAAACATATTTTTCAGATTTACTACTATTTTACTTTTGTCGACATATAAAAACTCAAAGACCCCTGACATTCACAGGTTATTTTGGATAGTAAATAAAACGGTAATAATTGTATAGTACACATCATAAGCCTGGTTCCCATCACCACCACTGTAAAGACATCTGAGTCAGTACGTTTCTCTAAAATGCACCATTTCATATCAAACCACTCTGAAGGACTTTGTTTACATCTCAACCTTTGAATTATGCAGTAAAACGATGAAATTCCTCTTTAACAGTGCTGGTTTGTGAGGTCTTTGTGAGGTACATTAAACTCATGGCTATAGAGCAAAACTAAAGAAGCAAACCTCAGACATCAAACATGTCTAGGGTGACTGGCTCCATTTGGGGTATGGGTTAAACTCTGTTAATTTGATAGATTGCCAAACTGTATTTGATTTGGCAAGAGCTAACTGCTTTTATATACTTACAGTCAGTCAAAATATGTGATATCTATCTTGAGGCAGACTGATAAATTCAACTTTGGGTCATGAATTTGGGTGAAAAGTCAAAGGTTCCGTCTCTCCACCAGCTCCATTCGTGGAACACGCAGACCGAAGGGGACTGAGGCTGTCCAGATGTTTTGAGAAAACGCACAGCTTGCGCTTTCAGAGACTTTGCAGACCTCCAGCATAGTGGAACCTCGTGCAGGCCTTCAGAACACTGCCAAACTAACACCACAGAACTCAGCTTGAGGATCTGTGTACATAATCTCAGCCATGTATCATTTACTTATCCATGGGGCAATTTTTCAGATGACAAAAAGAACACACCGAGTACGACTGCCTTGTTTGCGCCTGTATACAATACAGGAATATACTGAAAGACCAGATTTGCAGAGCACATCCACCAGCGCAATTTATTGTCATTGCCACATAAATATGTGGATTATGTGTAAATACGTTTTGCTGTATGTCATTCCTGACAAGCGGCGCTTGTATGTTGATGTGGTATGTTTGCTTCTTTATCCAAACACTGTGCGTTCCTCGAACTGCTTGTACCCTTTATTTGACATGCAGTCTTTCTTTATCTTCACATGAGACTTTTCACACCTGCCAGCAACATCAAAGCACCTGTGGAAGGGCCATCACCCACACCTGTGCCCTTTCCCTCACAAATGGGACATTGGAAAATGTAGCATTTTGTATGACTTCAGGTTCGTAGAAAACTTTTTGGATGGCTTTTGAATTTTTTTTTTTTTAATGGAGGTTTTTCAAGTTTTATTATAACAGCAACAATAACCTGCATCTACTATAAATAGTGCATAAAGTGCATATATGCTCTTACCGTATGTATTCAGGCAGTGTAATTGCTTATGTATCTCTGCTTGCTAGTGATTAAATGTTAAACATAATAAAGCCTAAATTAAACTACTGCATGTTCTTTGGTTTGTTCATCCAAGCCCAATACTCCTGCCCAAGAACACAAACACTTACTGAAGGTCATATTAAACCATTCCAACAGAGTCACATGTTTTCATTTTAAGTGAAGGCATTTAGCAGCAGTACTACAACTGTATCATTTTACTCTTTACAACGCATAAAAAGTCACATATTCATAATACATTTAGAATGCATTCAGACTGCATCCTCTGAAGGCAGACTGAAAAACTCTGCTGTTGTCATTTTAACTTAATTCACACTATTTCATGCACAATCTCACTGTCACTGTGTGACAAGCCCAAAATGGCAAAACATTAAGCTTTTAATTGTCTTAACAACAAACCACTCCAGAAAAAGTAAAGTAAGTTAATATGGAATAGCGTTTCCCTTTGATTTCTTAAAATGTTGAAGTCTTGTGGGTAAATATGCAGACAGGCTTTTGCAGAAAGAAGAGTCAATGTCATTCCACTCATCACTCATTTCATTTCTCATCTTTTTGCACGTCTTCTGTTAAAATGTTTCATTAAAATTTTTACTTGAATGACCTGAAATTCTCAGCATTTTTTCCATTGATCCCTCTCGCAGGACTATAATCTACTGAATATAGTTTTATCGGGATATTGCAGACTCTGAAACTGAATTAGGCAACGTTTTTCATTTTATTGTTTTGTTTTCATTTTTTTCCAAATACATGTTGTCCCACTTTTGTTAAACTTTCCATACTAAAATAAACTAATTAAGTAAACTAATATTACAAATTCTTATAAATGGGACTATAAAGTGCGTAAGTGTGGTATTGTCAGTAAATGACAGGTATGCAACATCATGGCCAGAACAACTGATTTATCACTCTAATTAGGCTTTAGCAGGGACAGTCTTTGTAAAGAAGCCATTTGAGTCCGTTTTTAGAACACGTCTAACGAGCATAAGTACTGCACTCCATGCACTGATTTTAAAATAGTTAATAAACAAGCATTGATAGAGTTTCTTTTAAAGAGTGTTATGTATGTTTAATTTAGTGACTAAATATTTTTAAAAAGGAGTGAATAGATACTTGTGTATTCTAAAAATGTATACCCAATACCTATAATCCATTTCAGGGTACTCCCAACCTTGGTTTCCCCATAGACATTAGGGGTCCAACAATGCATAAATTTCACAATGCAATAAGTATTGTGATTTTTGCACCATGGTATGATGATTTGAGAAAATTTGCAGCAGTAAACTCAGCATTCAGCTTGTAACCTCTGTATCAGGAAAAAAGAACAATGGGCCTCATTCACCAGTATCTTCCTAAGTTTCTTCTTAAATTTGTTCCTAAGAAAGGTCCTAAGAAAAAGTCTACGTAAGATTTGTGCTCTTGAGTGTGTATACATTCTGTACTTACCTAAGAATAAATCCCAAATAAGAAAACACTGCTGAATGTCAGAATCTTCATGAGAACTGTGTAAGTAGGCTTTAAGAAGAGATTTCTAAGAACAGTTTGTGAATGAGGCCCATTAAATTAAACATCATAACACTCTTGGTAGGTTTTACAGGCAGCTCAAATGTGCCATGATTTCTTTTGTTTATGCAGGGGAAAGTCAGAGGAAGCCTTGAAAGGGCTCATATAATTTATTATTCTTGTATTTTAATGTATTCCTTGGGGTTCACTTATCACGTTTGCGTTGGTTTATGTAACAGTCATAGTTAATTTTTAAATGACCATTTTCTGACCTCTCTATCCCTTGGAATTAAATAGGCTGGTTTGGTTATTGTGCCTTTCAGACTGATATTTGTAAACGACCTCTGTTCCGATTGGGTGGCATATATTGCGCCTCATTTAAAAAGCAGTCTGGGTAAAACAAACTTCTTGTACCTTCACCATGAATGGATGGGGCTAAACCAGTTTTAATGTTGGTGAATGTGTTGTTCTTTGTGACATCACAAAAACAATGCATTCAAAATGGGCCGTTTTTTGTAGCTTAGTCTCCATATATGGACTGGGAACTGAACTGTATGGTTTGAAACTGATACTTCAAGCAAAGAAGTGAAGGAAAATTCCATGACATAGGCCCCTTTAATAAGTAATCCTTTGCATGCGTAATATCAGACAGTGTGGAAACAAATATCATATTCAGTTCATTCTCAGCTTGATATAAAACCCACTGTGATTTGTCAGGCTGATATTTTCTCATATCTATCAGCAGTCTGCGCCGGCAAGTGAAATGTCTAGCTTCACAAGTACAAAGGATTAAACAAAGCTTTTAAGCGCCTGAACTGGATGCTCTCGTATATACAAACAGCAACCCAATAAAATGTTTGGGCAGCTAAATGGAAACGTCTCTGGGTGCGTGTGTGGAGCGCTTAGCGTGCTCCTGTGTAATTCTTTCCCTCACAGTACAGTAATCAAAGGCAGTGAAATAAGGCTTTTAACAGCCTCGGTGGAGAGGACACGGAGAGTTAAAGGATTTAGAATGGCAGCGGCTCTGACAAGGCACCAGTGACATTACCCACGAGTCACTGCTCTGGCGGGGATAACAGCTTTTCTCCTGTCTATCCTACCAGCCTTGAGTGACTAGCAAACTGAAAAAATCTAAACACACAGGTTAGCCTTAAGCCCACCGTGTCTTTTCACTACGACAAGCAGCAAACCTAGACCTAAAAACAAACATGCTTAAATCTAAAGACCTAAAATCTGCTTTTGAAAAGTTAAATAGGGAAGAAGAACTGAGGTAATATTAAAGCCATGTATTTTTATGCTGAATGTATAAAAAAGACTTCAGTTTGAGGAATGTTATAAAGAAGATCACATCTGATCATACAGTTAATGCAAATGTTTGGGCAGCCGTGGCCAATTTACATAATTTGCTGAATTTTGAAGAGGAAAGATGTAAAGCAATCTCTGTAGAAAACGATTGTAAAAACAGTTTTCTGCTAATGTTAATGCACAGTTACTTCATATTAAAAAAATAGAATGAAATAAAATAGCATGTACAAATGTTTGGACACACTTCCAGTTGTATAGTCTCAGAATTTAATTAATCTTCAGGCCTTATTTAAGTAATTAGGACTAGTTAGGCAATTGTGAACAATTCTAGGGAGTAATGAATTCTCTGACTCTTCAAACCTTGTGCTAACAGTCAACAACCATGAAGACAAGCCAACAGCTAAAAGACCAAGAGAACTCTCAGGTAGAACGGCTTATATGCTGACTGGAAA